GCCGTGTTCGAAGTATTGGATGACGAAGGGAAGACACATTTGTCTATCCGAGCTCCTGTAGCATCACGCACTTCGAGAGTAAGTTGAAGATTGTGGAGTCCGGTGGTCGTCTGCAGAGGAATTTGACCAGCCTGCGGGTGAGACAGGAGAGCATCTGCAGGGAATACGGCCTGAGAGAGCGTCACATAGATATCGGATCTTGGCTTCGTAGGAGCCTTGGAAAACCCAATACGCTGTGTCTGTACGACATCGTGCATTATAGTAGGGTTCTGACGGATCAGGAACTCGGCGTCGCAACTAGAAAAGGGGCGCAGATGGAGGTGTAAACGTGCTGCAGGGTCGGCACGAACATACCGGCCGGTTGGACTAGGAAGCAAGGCGCGGATCAACTTGTCAAATCCATCCGTCAGCCCCTCACCATCTTCACCGTCTCGACGGGGCGACCAAATATTGATCACCTGCTCGACATCCTTATCCTGTCGAAGAATCGGCGAGATCTCCAATATCCCAACGCCAACAGTGCGGATCGCCGAGACCTCCTTCGTTGGGGCAGATTGAGAGGCGGTTGCTTCTTTGGCGCTGGACCCACTGCTCGATGTTCTTGGAAGTCCTTGAGTTGTGGGCTTAGATGGCTGATCCAAGCTCGGTCCACGTTGCTTGGGGGTCCACATCATGCTGCGCCGCGTTCTCAAACTTCCCTTGGCCGAGGGTTGAATGCCCCCGTTTGCCGTGGCCTTGGTCGGGGTCGGACTTTCTCGTGAGACTGATGGTCTCGACACAGGAATGGTATCAACTGTGGACCGCGACTCTGGAGCACGAACCCAAGCGACTAGATAGAGCTGCCGCCCATTCGCGGACCCATCTCCAATGTCTGTTGCGGCCAATTCGGTGAACAGTGTCTTCAGTTTACTGCTTTGGCTCATGTTGACGAACTTATCAGGAGACGGAATATCTAAGCTAAAGGTCTCAGATAATGGACTGAGTGAACCGGCGTCTGATCGGGAAAACAGCTGAATTGCAATTGTCACTTGCCCCGGCGCATTTCCTGATACCGCGTTGATTTCCAGCAGCAAATGATGAAGTGCGGTAGCATCGGATGTTTGCGTGGGACGGGAGTCGAGCATACTCATCTCGGACTGCAGCTTGGCCAATTGGATGGCGGAGTCGTCGCCCGTTAGCAAACGGCCTCTCTCCTCCGGATCGCGAACAATCACGTCCCCGCTAAGCATTTTGTTTGCCTTGACCAGTTTCCAGACTGTCTCATCCCGCAATGCTTCCTTCTCCTTTCCAGTCAGAACATTGTGTAGTAATTGTCGTCTCGCAAAGTCCAGGTCTTGTACAATGGTTGACATTTCCTCCAACACATCATACCGGCGTGCCAACAGCAGTTCATGCAAATTAGTCGAATGCCATTCGCGCAGACACGAGGCGATCTCATCGACCAGTGGCTCGGTGAGAGAAGTCGGAGTTTCATCACCGATCTTAAGCATCGGGACTGGGGCAGCAGGTTTCGGCGCATCAGGGTCGCGAGGAGCAAAGGAGACAGGCGTATGCGGGATCGAACCCGTTCGCCATCGCGGACTTGCCTGGTCTGACCCGTCGGTCTTGTGAATAATAATCTGGGAAGGCTTCCCCTTTTTCGCAAAGACAACATCAGAAACCTCGCCAACAGCCTGGAAGTCATTGACGGAATAAGCAAGGCTGTTTCGGGACAGGTATTCTCCATCCCAGCCAGACAAGGTCAGTCGATCAATGCTTTTCCGATCAGCATTTAGTAATGCTTTATATCCATCGCCGTCGCCCAACACCTCTCTAATCTCAACGCAGTTCCGTGGGAAGATACCCGAGAACACACGAGCTTCAAGAGTCTGGCCTTTGGCGCTTGTCAAGCCGGCCAGCAACGACGGCGGCGCGACCAGATAGCCTCGGCACCACTCGCCATCCCTCCCTCCCTGTTCAATTATGTAGAGCTCATCGCCAAGCTCCAACGGTAGATCTGCGGGGGAAGACGGGTTGAAAGGGTATATGGCCACGGCAAAGGCGATGCGAGGCAGCGGCCGCCAGGGCATGGCTGTGTTGTGAATCGCCCGACGCGATTGGAGCTCGAGACACCGGATCTGAGGCGTGCCAGTCCCCGCAAATGGGTCCACGATCGCAAGGTCCGCGGGAAGGATTTATGGGTGTGGATCAGTTCGAGGAATGTTCGTTTCGATCGAAGGCCACATGCAGTGGGAGATCCAAGTCGTCGGGTGCCGGGGATGAATGAGAGGAATGTGGGAATTCGAGGAATGCGACAAGTAACGATCTAAAGAGACATGATTAGGGAGGTGCAAGTGGGACTAAAGGATTCGTCCTGTCGGAAAGCGAGGAAAGAAGAACAGAGAGCACGGAAACAGTAGTCCTCTCACACCGCGAACGAGGTCTGGAGTGTTGCAATTGAAAGTATCCGTGCCCCCCCCCTTGAGCGACATGTGGAGACCACTTGGAGGCGTGGGGAAGAGACTCACCGTAGTAAAAAAAAGACACACACAAGTCTGAAAAAAATAAAACAGAAAAGGAAAATGGAAATATCAGAGAGAGACCTTGAAAGGAGAAAAGAAGATTAAAATCGAAGATCGAAGATCACCCCCCCACAGCTTGACACCTTAGCCAAATTCGGAGGATAACTGCCTTTGCCTTGCTTTAAGGACATCCTGAGATTACATCTAACATTGTTATGCTTGTAAAACGGTAATCGACGCTCATGAAACTCCATTCATATTCTGAAATAATCCGCTACAATACAAAATGTGACAGTTCCTAGAACATATACTCCAATAGTGCTCCGTACCTAGAAACATAGTATATCCCAAACCCCAAACCCCCTGAAACCACCATGAAGCGAACGGTGGGTCAGTATGGCCAATGGGAAGATATACTCTATTGCTTATCCCTAGCTTTGTATAGAAAAGAGCTTAATGCCTTGCCGTCTAAAAAGTTGTCGACATTTAAAGCACGTCGTGGTCTTAAATGTAACATCCCTACTAGTAGGGAGACTAGTCCCCTGCGGGTACCCTTCTCCGTCGACATAAGAACAAGTTGCTCTTAACACAGCCCTTTCGTTTCACACTAATGGTCAGAAATGAAATCACTCGAATCCAATGACCTTATCAGATCTCCCAAAAGAATTAGTGCATGACATTGCGGACCTCTTGGATGAAAAGGAATTTTCAGTGTTCGCTCAGCTGACCCGTCGCTTTTTCGATATCTTAATCGACTACCTTTATGCTCGAAATGCAAAGAGATCTGACGTATCCGCCCTGCTCTAGGCAGCAAAAACGGCTATAAGTCAACTGCCCGACAAGCCCTCACCAATAAAGCCAACCCTTCAACGACCAACCGTCACAAACGTAGGAAACCTAAGCATGGTTCGACTCTTACTAAATGTCAGAGGAATGGATATCAATCAGCAGACCAAATATTCGGAAACACCGCTTATAGCACCGGCCAGAGAGGGCAACGCAGACATAGTCAAGTCTCTTCTTGACCAGCCCGGGATCAACTCTAATATGTCGAATAGTATCCGAATCCGCCACCCGAAAAAGCGTTTAGACAAAGTCTATTATCCTAGACTGCTATAAATGGTCATCTTGAAGTCTTAAAGGCTCTTCTGCTACAAACCGGATAATGTGAAGTCGAAGGATGCGCGTGACTAGACGCCGCTAGCATACGCGGCAGCGTATAGGTAGCAATGTGGTAGAAGTATTGATTAAGGTGCTAGGAATTCAGCTCGAATAGATCACTACGGGGTATAACACTATTGATGCGGGCCTCGCTAAACGGCCACGAGGCTGTGGTCAGGATCTTATCGAATAGGAATCTATCAAAGGCGATTCTAAATGCAGAGGAGGGTCTAACTATATAGCTCCTTGGTTTGCGGTCCTGCATGGTGAAACCAATATTTCCAAGCTGCACAAAGGATGCAATCCTCATCTCGCCGCAGCATGGGCAATATACCGCTATCGCTAGCCATCAGCCTTAGACAGCAGGAGATTGTGAAATGGATGCAGTAGTCAAAGCACCAGCCAAAGGTTTCGCTTGATTTAGTTGAGCGGAATGGGATAGACAGATGAGAGTGGATGCGAAAGCTACATACGAATCGAAATGGGCAGTCGACGGCGTCCTGAGTGATACCGATTCAAACTATTCTAGCTAGTTGTAACCCGGCTTAATCTCTTGCGTATTGAGTACAACTCACAAACCATCGAAACTCCACCTATCTAGTTACGCCTTTTTGACGCTCAACTTCCGATACCAATGATTTAAAGACTTAGCTTAGTCGTGTAAGGAAACGGGCGATGCGGCCACTACGGTAGCCAACATAAACGGCAACGTGCCCCCTACAACATAGACATGGGGGCCCAATTCCTTAACTGTACAGAGTAGTGGCCAACACTTAACCGACGATCGTCAGGGTCTGGCCCCCAAGACTTCTAACCCTTCCTAATATTAGAGTCGAACCTGCGCGTATTACATATGAACATTATAAATTGGAAACGAGGATAAAAAAAGATTCAGTACTTCTCAAATCTATCCACACGGAGCCAATAGCTGGCGCTGCGTAATGGAATGCGCCTTGGAGTGAAACCCAAGCATCCGAGCGCCATCGTCATCAACTCTCTTGGCCGGGATGGGACCAAGTGAGTTTAGCTGCCAAGGATTCAAACTGGGCTGTATATTCGAGCATAGTGCTATTCTGCCTCAAATGGATGATCTTGGCCTATGCCGGAGCCATGCGAACTTCTCGCGGTACACTAAGTACTGCAAGGACCTTGCGATGTTCAGCTCCGCCACCTTCTAGATCTACATCGTATCCTTAGGCTGACTACGGAGTAATCTTTAGATAGATATCTTGCCCTAATGGACATGTATAAATACGACCTTGGGCCATTCTCTTTAAGCCCCTTTCAAACACTTCAACCGATAGTACAACACTGCCGTACAATCACAGCTCCTACACAATGAAGTTCATCAACACCATTCTCGCTTCCAGCCTCCTCCTGACAGGTCTCGCTCTTGGCGCACCACAGCCCGGGCCGGATGCCGAGCCGCATGCCGAGCCGCTGCCCGTTCCCGAGGTAAGTCTACCTACTACCGAGCCTCTCCCTCCATTCTTCCATTGCAAGCTGACAACCACTTAAGTTGCCACACGCGACGGCGAAGGCACCGGCGGCAACTGCGGTCAGTACAACCCCGACCCAAGCAAGCAATGCTTCTGTAGCGGCGCCATCGGCGGCCGTGGCCCCGCCTGGAGCGGCAGCAGTAATGCCTGCGACGAATGGGCGGGCCAAGTCATCCCTTCTGGTAGTAAGGTCGAGTTCACGCGCTGGAATCCCACCAACAAGATGATCTTTCACATCTACAATGGCTGCGATTGGGAGTATACTGTCAACCCGGACAACTGCAAGAGCGAATTCCAAGAGCTCATCAATTACTGTGAGTGGACATGGGATACTCACAAGGGTGGATGGTGGAATATGCCCTGTGCGTCGATTGGATTTGATGTCAATGCCCGGTGAGGGGGTGTGGTTTGGTTGAGGGTGATAGTTTTATGTGGAAGGGGCAAGGGGTGGAAACAGAGTGAAGAATGAGTGCAGGCCGATGGGTTTGTTCTGAGCCCATATCGGTGTCTCGTCATATATGCATACATCTATATACTTAGAATCTGTTAGGACATCCTCTCGACATGTACACATAGCAATTATGAATCCAGGCATATTGGACAGCCCATATGTTCGAAAGCGACAGGGAGCTTACGCCAGTCGAATGCTACGGAGAGGCGGGCAGGTCAAGATGGCCAATGAGAAGACGGAATCTTACATCCTAGAAGAGAATATATAGGAAAAAAAGCGTAAACGAAACAAAGGGGAATAGAATTATCTTTCAATACGAAGTACATCTCATTTCCGGAACATGCTAAGGGTGTCTTCCTTGCGCCAGTCCAGCTCCAATTGACCCTCGTAGACATCTTCAATAATCTTCCGGGTGCGGTCATAAGTATTCTCATAACGATTCTCGCACTCCCGGAGTACTTTGACGACAAGGCTGCGGCTAAGACCAGGGTCATCGGCGTCACCAAAGTGCTTCTCTACACGCTTCTTGAGCATTTCGATGCCACGTCGGATTTCCTTGTTATCGTAGGAGGCGAGAACCTTCTTCGCCACCATGCGGGAGTGGGTGGGGCGGGCTGCAATGTCGGTCGGGTTACCGCCCGCAGCGAGAAGGTTGTCAATTGACTGCACGAAGTCAATCAATTTGCCCAATGGGCGGTGAATGACCGCGTCCAGGTAGAGCTTCATGTGCTCCTGGAAGTCTTGGTGGGCCCGATCGGCCCAGCGTTCAAGTGCAGGGATGTTGTGCACATCTACTTCCTCGATGTAGTGGTTCATGTTCTCAATAAGGAGTATGTGGTAGTTCAGGATCTCCTTGTCTTCCGGATCACCAGCACTCGCAGTGAGACCCGGAGGTTGGCCGGGTGCTTCCTTGGCAATGAATTTGAGTGACTCCCACATCGCACGGTTGATACGGTCGTACGCGTCATTGACGCTAACACGAATGTCACAGAAGGCGCCGGACGGGGATGCCAGCATGCTTTCCACCGCATTGGAGAAGTTGGGGAACACCCGCATGAAGGAAATTACTCCCTTCCGCTTGTTCACCTTGACTTTGGTGTCCTCGATGCCTCGGATTTGTTCATCTACAAATCGGTTGAACAGTCCCATCAGGCGGGAATGGATTTTCTGCAGCGCATGAAGAATGAACTCTTGATTCGTGTCATCGAAGTCATTCATAGCAGTCTCCAAGGCATGGAGAATACCGATTCCTTGAAGAGGATCAGCTTGCATCGCCCAGTCCACCATGCTCTGCATGTCATTCGGCCAGAATGAGTAGACCTCATCCATGATCTGCTCGACTCTCTTTGCCATTCCCCGATCAGGATCATGCGGCTGGTTAGCAGAGAAATCGGGACAAGAGCGATTTTCCGGAATGGTAGCAGATACCAAGTCGGAAAAATCGGCACTGGCAAGAGAATTGAGATGGAAGAATTGGACAATGAAGTTCTGCTCCTGAGCCATCATGTTCAGTGTCTCCCGCAGCGTCCCAGAGAATGCCTCACATGGCTCGGACTTTCCTTCCTTCTTCCCGCTGCCCGAAGCCAGTCGAAGCCCAGCGGCAGCCCGTACCGTCTTGCCCCGCCGCACGGTCAGTTTTCGTGCCGCCATGGTGAGACCCTCGGCTTCTTTCTCTTTCTCTTGGTGTGTGAAGAGGAGTTCTTGCTCATCTCCCGTTGGTTTGTGCGCGGTCTTCTTCCAAGCCAGATTATTGTCGCGGAAGTCGCCCTGGTACGAAGGCTTGGACTGCTGCTCATAGAGACTGACAAGGCTATGCCATTCTGTCATGCTGACCTCTTTAGCAAAGAGCATCAGGGCATTATACCGCCAGACCTCTTGACGGAAGTGCCCTCGTGCGGCACTATCTAATTTCATGGAATCCTTGGCACCGTTCGTCCAATCAGCACGTTTTTGTTCTGCCATCTTGAAGGCAAGGGCCATGAACTGCTGCAGTCGGTTGAGGAACATGGTTGCAGTAGAGCGATACTCTTCCTTCTTTTGCTTGATCGCACGCATCTGGCCGATTTCTGTATCAGCATACACACCGACACTAGCATCGACTTGACGTTTCTTGTTTTGTCCAATGTCAGAGTCGATAGTGAGCATAGCCTTGTACAACGTCGCTAGAGCGCTTTCAGTATCCTTCAAGCCATCGGGGTTGCTCAAAGAGGCTTCTTTGAGGGGACCCAGTTCGGATGAAGATATTGAAAGTGTCTTCAAAAGGGTTTGAAGTTCGTTTTGCAGGAGCTTCTGATTTGCTGTTTGTACCTGCAGACCTTGACCTTGAGCTTCAATATAGGCGACATCCTCATGAAGAGTCTGTAATATAGTCTCGTTAGCAGACTGGAGATCAATCCCGGTGCCGTAATCTCGAAACTCACGTTCAGTTCATGGGAGTAAAGGGTCAAAAGACCATCGAGCTCATCGCACTCTTCGATCGTTCTGTCAATCAAGCTCGCAAGTTGTTCCACCTTTCCTTCCTGTTGTTCAAGGTTGCCAAGCCAGCTGGTGGCCTCGACACGGCCAATTTCGCGGCGAACATCTGCTTCCAAATCCTCAATCTTTTGTTCATCGGCCAACCGTCCGTTCCAGCCCAGATCAGTGAGGATGTCATCAAACTCAATACCACGTCCGTCTAGAACGCTGGGATCGATCCCAAGGGCCTGGCAATATTTCATAGTGTGGTCTTCACGGCGTCTGCGACGACGTCCTTGAGTCGCCGGGGATGGCGATCTTGAACGATCTTCAACCTTTATAACAACATCAGAGAGTTTCTCTTGCGAGACCTCAGGAGTCTGGACAGGGGCCACCGCGATGTCCGCGGTTGCTGGCTCTGTAATCTCGACCGTTGGTGTCTCCGGCCCTGTAGCGGGCGTGGGGAATTGGAGATCTTGTTCCGACTTTGTCGCCACTGGACTCTGCGGGGGATCAGTTGCCGACCGGGAAAGGGACGGCGCGGGAACAACGCTGGTGATGCCATCGGGGCCCGCGGCATCAGCCTGTGATTTCTTCGCGGCTGCCAGCAGTCGCTCACCGGCCCCACCAACTCTGGGCTTGAAACCAGCATAAGCATTTGCAGCCTTTTTCCAGGCGCCTGCAATATCTTTGGCGTCCTTGTTCTTGACCATAGGACCGAGCCCCGGGCGATGCGGCTCGAATTCGCCGGTCTCTTCAACTTGCTCTGGAGGAGCTTGAGATGGCGAGTCCGCAGCAGGAACAGTTTCGACAGGTGTCTTGGGCTCTTCATTGGAAGGCTCGATAGGCTCCGACGAGGGCAGATTCGCAGACATAATAGCAGCAGGCTCCGCAGCTAGTCCCTCAATTGCCGGCGAGGAAGACGGTTCCCGGGGCTGCGCGGAAGCTCCGGCTGACAAGTTATCTGTACTTCTCTCTTGAGGCACAGAGGGCTGATTAAAGGAAAATGCCTTTTCCCCGCTCCCACGCTGGGGCGACTTTGGCCCAAAGCTGGGCGTGGGACGTGGGGCTGTGTTCTTACTTTCATTATTGGAAGAACCAGAGGTTGAAGGACGGAGTGCATCATTGCTGCGCATGAATTCTGGTGTTTTATTTGGGGCTGGCTCGGTAGCAAGAGGTGGGGGTTTGGGGCCGCGATCCTGGCTGCGAGCAGAAGATGGGCGAAGTGACTCCGGAATATCAGTATAGCTGCTGGATTGTGCTGCGGCAGTCAGATAATCTTTTCCCCTCGACTCTGATAGTGAACTCGGGGTTTTTGCGTTTGCGGCGCTACGCTCGGCTGCGCGTGACGGCGGTTGCTGGTCTAGGGGTGGCCCAGAAAGGAGCGACTGAGGAGATTTATGTAGATCAAAGGGAGATGGCGCCGATCTGCTTTGTCCTGTGGATGGCCGAGAACCGGTCGACGGCCGAGACATCTGCTCACGGCTCTTTTGAGTGCGAAGTGTAGGGTCTTCGGAAGGCTTCCTTTTGGCTTCCCGGGGCGCATCGCGACTGGGATCACGGCCTCTGTTGGACGATTGTAGCGAGGGAGGCACCGGGCTGTCCGATGTTGAAGGCTTTAGACCGGGTCCCCTTGCCGGTGGACCATTTGAAGGGCCACCTGCTTGTCCTGGTTGTCCCGATTGTCCATGTCTCGCCAGCATTTGTCGCTCCTTATCATCGAAACCAATGAGGTTGGGGACTTTTCCATTGGTGTATTTCCTGTAAATCTTGACCAAGCTCCCGATGAAAAACTCCTTTTCCTTAGAAGTCCTGGCGTGCCAGTAGTATGGCTTTCCAATTGTGACCGTGAATCCAACATTGCCCGCCCATTCTTTTTGTTGCTGCTCTCCTGGTGTTCTGGGCACAATAGAACCAAATGATTGAATTGCGCTTAGATCGTCGAGCATCCAAGTTTTGCCGATAGAGAAGGTCCCCTCATTGTTCTCTCGAGCTTTATGTATGCGGACTCTGCCTGACTTTCGAACCGCTATGATAATGATACGGGGTTTCTTGTTCTCCGGTGGCCCGTTTGGCGGGGAGGGGCTGGAGGGGTGTGCTGAATCTTCGGTGATGCGGACGTGGGTTATATAAGACTCGAGCACTGGAAGCAAAAGAGGGGTTAGCAGAGACCACGGGCAAAATATTTGAACGAAGCATATAGGCCTTGTCATCACTTTCGTAATGTGTTGCCAATCACACCACTATTGCCTGGAATCGTGGGACGGCGAATCTGAGGAAATACGTTGATAGTGTACGTACAGAGACCTTCTTCATCCTTTTTGGCGAAACAACTATGAATGATCCGCTTCTTCTCATCCTCAAAAGCGGCCCCTCTTGTCATGGTGCTTGGGCTAGAGCCCGAATCAGACTGCATATCTCCACGATTTGGTAGCGGCCCTGGCGGAGGCCCGCGGGGACGGTCCCTGCCATTCATCATGGTATCGAGGGACACAGAGCTCGAGTGTGGGTAGCCGCGAGATCAAGGGGACATGGTCGGGATGGTCGGGATCGGGCGACACCACCACGCACCACGCGCGGAAGGAATTGAAATCCGTTGAGGGACAATGGGTTTGTGAGCCGGCGGAATATGACGAGGTATAAAGCAGTACACGTTGTGGCCCAGAGTAATGCAAGTGGCCAGCGCTGAAGTTCAAATTAGCTCATCAATGTGTCTCGCGGGTGGAACCTTGGAAGGCGGAGAGCTTAGAGCGGAGTATCGAATTGATCCAGGGTCGCCTAGCTGTAAACAAACGCGCGGAATGTCAGAGATTAACATTAAATTGAACGCAGATTTTCTTATGGCAGTTACTTGGATTCTCACTATCTTACTTTATTTCGGGTGTACTGATGTACTGAGTGTTATCGCAGTGCATGGCCACCATCCATGACTTTGATCCTATTGGCTTTTAATTGCCAGCAAAATGTTAGTCATCCATCCCCGGGCCCGGGCCAGGTCCAGGCGGAGCCTGGATGCATGTAGGATAGAAACTGCTAATGTGCCATATATCCAAGTTACTACGTACATTGTAGAATTCGAGTTATCTAGTCAATCATGTCCTTCACTATTCTAACTGCGATCAAACTTCATCACTCGGATCAAGGACAACTTTGGAAGCTTCAGAGCCAGGGCGGTGAGCAACATGGACCAATCAGAGAACACCAGGTTGAATATCAAAATAGCCGCGCGCCAACCACCGCCTATCTCCACTAATCAACGCGCACCAAGCTTCACCAATCGCCGTGAAGCTGATGGCTTACCGCCTTTTATGTACATTTTTTTTTTCTCCCTTCTTCTTTTGGTATTTCTAAATAGTCTCTTCTTGCCTCAGGTTCTCTTCCCTTCGCTATTCGTCCAGTCGCTATGGCAAAGGTTTCCAGCAAGAAGACTTCGGTCAAGAAGGTACCTCTTCATTTATTTATTTCGATTGACATGTCGATTGGCATGATCTACAAACAGATCAGAGTGACGATGAGACTGACAATGCCCTAATTTCACAGACCGAGTCTTCCAAGACCACCAAGTCCATTCCCCCTCAGCTGATCGCCTCAGTCGCGGCTTTCTTGTCGGACAATTTCCCTCAGACTAGCACCGCCTTCAGCAAGGAAGTGGCAAAGTCGGACAAGAAGAGCGATGCGAAAAATGTCCCCTCTCTCTTGGAACTCTTCCAAGCCCCCGAGCAGGGATCCAGCGTGAAGAAGTCTGGTAGCCCCAGTTCTGCTTCCAGCTCAAGCAGCAGCTCGGATAGCGACTCGGACGTTGAGATGGGCGAGGCCGCTCGCTCGTCCTCTCCGTCTTCCTCTTCTTCTTCCAGCTCCGACAGCGATGCGGATGATGAGGATGATGATAAGTCTCCTGCGGCTCCCACCCCCGCTCCGGCTAAAAAGCCTGCCGGTGTGAAGCGCAAGGCCGAGTCGAGCAGCGAGTCTAGCAGCTCCGACTCCGACTCGTCTGAAGACGACAGCCCCAAGGCCAAGAAAGCCAAGACCTCTCCCACCCCCAAAGAGGCATCTTCCTCTTCGCCCTCGTCCGACTCTTCGTCCTCGTCTTCGGATTATTCCAGCTCTGACTCCGATTCCTCGTCGAGCTCTTCTTCGTCTGATTCCTCCTCCGATTCCTCATCTGACTCTTCTTCCGACTCTTCTTCCGACTCTTCTTCCGACTCTTCTTCCGACTCTTCCTCTGACTCTGACTCTTCCTCTGACTCTGACTCTTCCTCTGACTCTTCCGAGTCCGAGTCCGAGTCCGAGAAGGAATCCAAGAAGGCCCTGAAGACGGCAAAGAAGACTCCTCTCCCCGAGTCCGATTCCTCTTCTGATTCGGGGTCTTCATCATCCGGCAGCAAAACCCTCGCCAATTCCCCCGAGACTGAGACTAAGCCGGCCAACAAGGCGGTGGAAGCTGCGCAGACTAGCTCCTCGAACGCCAGCCCCGCTCCTGGCAACGGACCCGCCAAGAAGAAGCACGTCGGAGCCCGCCCCACCCCTCTGGCTCTCCTGAGCGAATTGCCCCATGACCACCCGTCGAACGACTACATGTCGTACGCGTACGCAGAGCGCGCCTGGAAGGACCTGTCTGTGACTCGCGGCAAGGGATTCACCAAGGAAAAGAACAAGAAGAAGCGTGGCTCCTACCGCGGCGGTCCCATCGACATTGGCCCCTGCACGACCTCCTACAAGTTCGAGGACTAAACGATGACTCTTGCTTTCGCGACACAAACGTATTAGCTAGTCCATAATACCAGGCTATCGTCAGCATCTCATCAAAAGATTTGCCACCAAACCCAGGCTTTTCGTCTTGGATGTCGCTCGCTTTGCCGAAGGGAAGAATCGCTATCTTTTTTTCTGCTGCGGTCTTTGCAGTACAACTCAGGTTCGCTGCAATGATGAATATGAAGAGATAGGGCTCTCATATCCCGCATCATACTTTACCAATTTCACTCAGCACGGCGCACACGGAGCTATGGACAAGTCGTTGGACCTAAGATTTGCCATAGAATTTTTTTGCTTATTAGCTTACATCAATCAAAAGTTTGGGATCCCGTTCTCGATGAACTCCCCAGTATTTGCAATCCTCCATGAACTAGGAAAGAGACTAAGGACGTGGTATACTGTGCAACCCTTCTAGCCCGATCAATCTCTATCAAAAAACAGTGTAATGCACAAACACAGAAAATTGGAAGTCCACAATCTACCTATCCCGCCTCCTCCAAGCTCCAGGCTCCTCCAAACTCTCCCACCTACAATCCCAACCCGTATGCGTCTCACGAGCCGCTTCCCCAGGCTCAATATCCGCAAACGCGCGCTGATTCCTCAGCTTAGAAGTGGTAGCGAAGTCATCCTCATCTGGGCGCTCATATCCAGCCAAGTTGAACGCCTCGGAGTTCCAGCGCGGTAAGACCCCCGAACCCGTATTCACGCCTAGGTCCAGATTATATTTGTACCACTCTTTCTGCGGGCCGGTTAGGTCATCCGTAGACGCAAAGTCGAGCTGGACGACCCCGTCCACGATGCCAGTGTAGACTGTTGGGGAGGAGGGCGAGGGTGAGGACATCGTGTAGATGGGGCCTCGGTAGGGACCCCTTTGGCGATTGCGGGCTGGGGCTGGGGTTTGTTGGGGGAATGTAGGGGGTGGTGGGTAGGAGAGGAATATCGAGAATCCCTTCTTAGGACGAGCATTTGTTTTTGCCTTGGGTCTGGTGTCGGCTTTGGTATTTGCTGGCGTTTGCGTGCTCTGCGATTGTGAGGCGGGTACTTGTGCGTCGAGGTAACTGTACCTGTTGCACATGCGCAGGTCGAAGATCTTGACCACGGCTTCCCCGCCGGCTCCGGCTAGGAAGCGCTCATTGCCGAAGGCGTGGAGGCTGTAGATGGGGTTCAGGTCCGTGGCGTCTTTATAGGAGACTTCGTAGGGCCTTGGGGAGCGCAGGTCGTGAAGTCTGACGGTGTAGTCGTCCCAGGCGGTTAGAAAGACTTCGCCCGGGGAGCCTGCCAGGGTGTGTTTATTGAGAGGTTCAATGGCGCCGATATGGACTTGCGATTTGAGGCTTGCAGAGTCGGTGTCTAAAGAGCCGATTCCGATTTTTCGATATGCAGAGACACCGTTTGGTGTAATTTTCGAGACAGACAAGGAGTTTTCCACACTTCCAGTCCCTACTGCTACTAATGATGAGGATAGCAGTTTGGAGTAGTTGGTTCGTGACGAGCCTTCCGGTAGAAGCCATGTGAATGGCTCAATTTCTTCTTTGTCGGTTTGGACATGGTAGAAAGCGACGGATCCATTCTCAAAATGAGCAGCCAAAGTAGAGTCTATGTCACTGCTTAAATCTGTTTTATCGAGTTTAAGTCCATATGCCATGAACTTTTTCTTGTACTCAAATGTTGCTTCATTGGGGGAGATGGCAAGGTGAGCAATATCACCTCGAACCCGACCAAAGATCAGATGCTCCACGTTGGGATCGTTGCTGTATTGATTCCCCGACGACAAAAGATGCAGAGAACAAATGTCATCATAGCTGCTAATATGATCAATATCATTAAAGACAAGCCAGTCTTCTTGCGAGCGAGCACCGGTTTGCTTGGTCCTTATCACAAGCTGGTTGGCAGCACCCCAGGCAAGAACTTCCTTCCTATCAGCCCAACGCTGGCCATTCCAGATCTCGTAAGAGTCAATAGAAGGTCTGTACCCGAGAGTCGGGTTGTCTCGGCGAGTCACCTCGTGAGAACCGATTTTGATGGCAGTTTCAGGTGGCACAACGAATCGTCCGATGATAGCTTTTCTGTCCAAGGCCCGGGACCTGGAGGTCAAGGCTTGTGCTGCATCTTTCCAGAATGGCGGTGTTTCGACAGACGGAAACCTGCTTCGCACAAACGCTCGGAAGATCCGAGAATTTTCAGCTGTGATAATGCCGTGTAGCCGGTGACACGTCTGGGACAAATGGGCTAATGCATTGGCAGTTGGCAGAAATGTCGCGATTTGATATATGATCTCTGATGGGAGCTCGTAGAGCATCTTGAAAGGAAAAGCCTGATTTGACAGGGACGTGAAAAGAACAACTGTTTTGTGCTTTCAGACTATCGCTAGCATGCTTTATTTTCCGCCACTTTAATGTGTGTTTTGACGCTGTTCATTGAGTGTGCTGGAAAGGGAAATCCTGCAGAAAGAGCCTCATTTGTTCAACGACAAGCAGACTATAGTATAGAGCTTCAATCTCTATACTACCCAATTGTCAATTGTGTTGTGTTCATATGTTTGTACAACATGTTGCAGGGCAGCAATTTCGTACACAAATTGCCCCATGTGGGCGCCAGTTGCCTTATGACGTAAGCATATGGGCGCGCCGGGACAGTTCCAGAGGGCTGTCCTCTTTTTTTTACGCCAAAGCAAGCAATCCAGCAAACTCTGGGAGCTTTGAACTAGAGTAACAAGTAATAGAATGCATAATAGTTTTCAACTCCAAGGATGAAAGGTCTGAAGGCACAGATGCAGCAAGCATCCCTGGAGGCCATGACGCTTATCGCCTTATCGCTTTCGCGGGGAAGTAATGTCACCCGAGGTTGGAGAAGGCAGTTTCCCTATCGAACCTACACGTATGCGCATGTAGCTCGTATTGACCATTGATCTTTGGGGTAATTCCATTACCTAACGCCGTCGGCAAAAGCAAAACGAATCAGAGTGAGTGGAACACAACCGGTATGGGGCCTATAGGTTAATCTTGCAATTAGGGACCACACTCGGCACCACCTGTAATACACGGATGGGTGGCTGGTCTAAAAGCTAGTGGCATAGCGTCGGCAATCTCCATTGTATACAGCCCCTCTGCTCGGAGGGGTTCCTCCGCTTTTATTTTACCTGCGAAGTCTAGATTTCCACTTGTATACCACAGTGGACGGCAGACAAGCTTCTCGGCATTCAGAACTTCACAATGACATATTCAATCACTGCCCTGGCGGTAGCATTTCTGGCCAGTCACATCTTCTACAGAGTGTTAATCTACCCAGCGTTTGTCTCCCCGCTGTCGAAGATCCCCAACGTGCACTGGAGTGCTTCCATCTCACCGGCATGGATGCTATGGAGGCGATTCACAAGCCGAAATAATCGGACGATCCAGGCCGCACACGAGAGACTCGGTCCTATTGTTAGGTTAGGACCATCGGAGATCTCGATCAACTGTGTCGAGGGAGGAATAAAGTCAGTTTATGCTGGCGGATTTGAGAAGCATGACTGGTATCCACGAGTCTTCGCATCATTTGGGTTAGTATGAACGCTGATTCACAGCAAGCAAAGTAGCTCACATGAGAAATAGCACAGTGAGCATGTTCACCATGACAGGAAGCAAGACACATTCAACTCGAAAAAGGATGTTGTCGAACATATACTCCAAATCGACTCTACAAACATCCGCTCATATGCGGGTAGTCTCAAATACAGTCATATTCGATCGACTGCTGCCGATCCTTCAAGAAGCGGCAATGTCTGGCAAATCCGTCGATGTGCATGATCTAAACCAGGGACTGACAATGGACTTCGTCTCCTCCTATCTATTCGGCTTGCAGAATGGCACTAATTACATCCAAGACAATTCGGTCCGCAAGCACTGGCTTCACCTTTACATGTGCCGGAAACCTTTCGAGTTTTATGCCCAGGAGGTTCCATATTTGGACGGATGGCTGAGACGGATTGGTCTTCGCGTTGTACCCAAATACTGTGACGAGGCCAATGCAATGCTTGATTCCTGGGCTCTGGACCTATGTGATAGGGCGGAGCAGATAATGTCATCGACCCAGCCAGGCATTGAGCCAATTGTCTATAAGCAATTGAAGCAATCCCTGGACAAGCATTCAGCAAAGAATGGAGAAGCAGAGCCAAACAAGGCCCAGCAACGACTCGATATTGCTTGCGAGATGTACGACCAGCTGACTGCCGGCTTTGAAACCAGTGCTGTTGGCCTCACATACTTGTTCTGGCAACTATCCCGAAACCCGGAAGTGCAGAACAAGCTTCGAGAGGAACTACTCACTCTGAACCCCCCGGTTTCGTACCCAAAGACAGCCGATCTGCCGCCGGCCAAGTCAATCGATAACCTGCCCCTGTTGGAGGCGATCGTGACAGAAACCTTGAGACTTCATGCTCCGATCCCTGGCATTCAGCCTCGGGTAACGCCGTCTCCGTCGTGCACTCTGGCCGGGTATGGAGATATCCCACCTAACACCAGAGTGAATGCGCAAGCATATTCACTGCACCGCAACCCGGAGGTATTCCCAGAACCAGAAACCTGGCAGCCGAAGCGTTGGCTGGAAGCCGAAAACTCGCCAGCTAATCTGGAGGAGAAACGCCGGTGGTTCTGGGCGTTTGGGAGTGGAGGACGTATGTGTGTGGGAAGCAATCTTGCACTGCAAGGTATGGATTGAAAAATCCCAATCATTACATTCTGCTGATTACCGTTTGACAGAGATGAAATTGGCCGTGGCTGCGATTTACACTAATTTCCGCACCACCATTGTCAACGATGACAACATCGAGGCTATCGATGCTTACACTGTGAAACCGACAGGCGATAAACTGATCCTCAAGTTCGAGTCTGTCTGAGTTGTACCGGGAAGGGATCTTGCATGCGCAGCCGTTGCTACAGCAGTATGAACTCAGAGTAGGATTAATTTGATCAACCAAAAAGTGTCAAGATTGCAGCTGAAAGAATAAGTGACAAGAACGAGACACTAGCTTCCCACTCGTTCATACAGTATCCATGAAGATAGTTGCTGAGAAGAATATCTTGCCAGGCGGGGTCATACATGCATATATAATGAAATAAGAGTTAATCAATTGTTCTAACAGGTGATCCCACATCCCACATAGTTGTATACTATACATATGAGTAAAAGCCAACTCCCATTGCGTCTGATGAAAAATAAGAAGACCAAATCAGCAGAGGCTGGTAAGGGCCAGAGAACTCGCGTAATATTGTATCAAAAAGAAACCCAAAACTCCAGGTGGACAACTCGCTTCTGCTGCCAAGTCCGGACAGACAATCGCGAACAATCCAGTGCAAAGAAATTTTAACCGAGAACGCCGTCCTTCTTCCGCGGGCCAACAACCTTGGGGTACATTCTCATAAGGTGGTAGTTGACGGTGTTCTTCTTCTGCTCCTTGGATTTCTATATGCGGGAGCAACTCGTTAGAAGGATGTCGATAATAAATGAGAAGAACGGCAGTGGATTATGACGTACCGGTGCATCCATGCACTTCCGCAATTGAGCCTCGAGAGCAGCGCAGCCTTCTGCGCCGTATCCAGCGGAAGCCCAGCAGTCTGTTTGCAGCAAAATATTGTCAGTAACTCAATCGCGATTTCGGGAAGGCGAAGTCAGGGAGACAAGAGATTGACAACGTCCATGGTGCCGCAGATGAGGAACAAACATACTAAGCATAGACGACATCACTACCACGCAGGGGTTCTGTTCATTTTGATTCGGCCGGCGGACACGGAGGTGGTTGATGGTGTTGAGACGCATCGGGTTGAGCCGGGTGGAAAGGGAGCCTTTGGGTGCCATGGTGGGCAATTATTAGGTTCGTAGAACTGACGACGGAGGTATCGATCGGTGCGAGAAGAGGCAAAAAGCCTTGAAGCGACCGTGTGCGGGATTAACGATCAGAGACTGGCGCCGCCGACGGATCTTGGACGAACAAAATCACGAAGTTTCGACTCCGCGGAGGTGGATGACTAATCCTTTTTTGCACCCCGATCTTTATCTACCTCGAGGGGCTTGCCACCAAATTGACAAGTATTGTACACTCTCTTTGATATCGCAAGTTCGTTGGATCTAAGACCTATCTATTGAGTATGCCTGGGAGATACAGTTTGTTGACACAGTTCCGTGATGTTTCTTCAACATGCTCCTTTAGAGCTCCGATAGCTCCCACATCTAGGCGGTTCTCCGCAGCATGCCACCTGAATCAAACATCGTCCTCGTCCACGGCCAAAACCGAGGATAAAGATGGCGAAGATAGTTCAAGAAAAAAAGATAAAGATAGTCCGATGGGCCGCCGTCTGGCTCAGATGACCGAAGATGCGATGCTAGAAGGTGGACGATCTGCGCGTCGCAACATCGAGCAAGCAGGGTTCTCAGAAGAACTGAAAAATGAGCTTGCAGAGCGCATTGCTGCTACTTCATTCAGGAGCGAGTATGCTGCTGCTCATTCTATAGTCGAAATGCCTGTATGTGATCCTTATCATGTCCTACTATCCAACATCCACTAACCCGCATTCCCTTATCACAGTCTGCTGCAGGGCAGGGCACACGAGAGAACGCCGCCGCCCCCAAATGGACAGGAACGGAGCGCGTCGAGGACACGACTCTGCGCATGCTAGATGACGCGAGCAAACCGATCCGAATGCCTTACAAAATCCCCGATCCTGTGAACCTCAAAATCCCCCCGAAGCCCAAAAAGTCCCGTGGAGAACGGCTTGCCGAAGCGAAAGAACGAACTTCTACCTATACGCTGAGTCGGGCTCCTGGATATTCCGAAGAAGAACGCGAGGATATGCGCCGTGAGATGAGGGAGCAGTTGACGCCGGGGGCGCATTCCATGCCAATCTCGATTTCGGGTCTTTCATCACTGGCAAATGAGCGAATCGAAGATGCGATCGCACGTGGAGAATTTAAGAAAATACGTCGTGGGAAAGGCGTAAATACAAAGGCGGATCACAATGCGAGCAGCGCATTCATTGATACAACCGAATATTTTATGAATAAGATCATCCAACAGCAGGAAATTGTGCCGCCGTGGATCGAGAAGCAACAGCAGCTTGGTTCAGATCTCAGTCGATTCCGCGAACGTCTTCGGGCGGACTGGCGGAGACATGCTGCGATGTTGATTGCTAGCAAGGGTGGATCGCTGGACGTACAAATGAAGCGGGCAAAAGCATATGCTGCAGCCGAGACTCGGCTAGCAGATAAAGCAAAGTTGGAGGCTTCGTTTGGAGAAGATACATCCGCCTCCGGGACATCCCAAGGATCAATTAAGAATGACAACGAGGAAGCCTCGGAAGATCTAGCCCATCTCCCACCGTTGCGAGACCCCAGCTATCTCTCAATCGAGCGTTCTTATCACGAACTTGCCGTGAAGCAAATCAACACTCTCACACGCTCATACAACCTCCAAGCTCCAGCCTCCGCCCACAAACCATATATCAATCTTGATCGAGAGCTCAACGCATGCTATGCCGCGGTAGCGCCCGAGCTAGCAGAGGAAATTAAACGCCGAGCGACAGAGCGTGCTCGTCCGTCATCAATCGTTCCGCCGGTTTCTTCCAGCAAGTTTGGGTCACTGGGCATGGCGCAGTCTGTACGAGTTCACGAAGAAGATCAGTCGAAGGGATACGGTATGAAAGAGCTGTGGCGTGATTTATTTACTAAATCCTGAAGACAGCAAACGACAAAAGAAAGAGAACTCTCCGCCCTTCCCTCTGTTCATCCTTTGTAGGGCCGTATCGCGGATAATAATACACCAATGATGTGACATAAAACATGACGAGCAATGGCACTCGAAATAAAACAGACAAAGACGATCTCTTCAACACCACCTCCCAGCTTCAGCTTTCCCTTCACGAAACTGGATTGGAATCTTCAGCTCTCCTCGAACGGATGGTCATCACAGGACACGGCTTTATCGTGCACCACATCGAGAATAAAGGGACTCCGACCACGCCGATGATAGCAACAATACCAGCTGGAACTGCATTCATCAAAACGAATGTGGCAGCATTCATTGTCCTTGTGCCAGCAGCGAGAGCAGGCACGCCCAGCACCAAGCAGAGAATAGAGAAAGCAACCACAATGAATGCTTTGCCGAGGTCAGTCCAAAGGATATGCTTAGCCGCACGCCTGACCGCAGCCGGGTCCGGGTAGAAATGTGATGCCTCCCGCAGATCTCGCCAGTTGTGAAAAGCACTGCTCACCCTGACGATAAAACACAAGTACGTGCAGGAAGCGAGGGTAAGGAACAAGATCCCGATAACATACGCTGCAGATGAGGAGATGCGCGTGTACATGCCCAGGTACCCATGCTTTGGTAGCGAGTCATGGCAAGGCCCATCAGCCCAAGAGGGAACACGGGCTGTCATGTTGTTGGCTTCGTCTCGCTTTCGCATGGGAATGATAAAATGATGCCAGGGGATCTTTGGGAAGTCTCCCGGGGGCCAGCCGGCTTGCTCGAGGTCGGAGTCACCGAAGGGCAAACGCGAGATCACCTCAACGTCTCCAACCCAAATTTCATTCACAGCGTTGCCCTGATCGTAGAAGTGATCCGACTTGACGCCGTGCACGGCCGAGACCTTGTTTCCCATCTAGGTCTTTGCGAGAATATGGGATGCGGTGTGATATAATAAGAGGTGGCGAATGATTTGATAAAATGATGTTGTGGTATACAGTAAAAGAAGATGGATGGTGAGGATGAGTCCACTGGGCATCTTGCCCAGTGGGCAGGTGAGCCTGGAGTGACATCGTTTGGAAGGAGCAGAAGAGGGAAGGCGCTTTGGTGTGTCTCCTTTGCAGTGAGAGATGAATCTCCTTGAATTGACTTGTTGATATCAGTGATTTGCATCTATTCTCGGACTTTCACGAGTTTTCTCGTCTGTTTTGGAAATAGGATGTAGTGGGCGAGATATCCTATTTCGGCTAAGAAATGCTCGTCAAAATCATAATATAATACTGCCACTCATATCAGGATCCTTAAAGCTTTCGCTTAGAGATTCTCGTCATTGTAGGTGATCCAAATTGATTTTCATCATGGTGACACTCGCGTCTACTTCGTTGGGATGCTGGTTGACGTCTAACTGGATATTCTGGTATATCCAAATGATAATGTGGCTTTATTTTAGACCAATTAAAGTGTGTTTCAGAAGACTCCAACTCCTTACCTAAATCTCGAGAGTCCTAAAATAAGTCAAAAGGACTTTGGCGGGGAGTTAGGGTTCTTCGTTCTTCCCTGTGAGTGGCCGCCGCCAAGTGACGATCGTGCATGAGGGCGCGTATTTGTGACCAACGACAGGCTAATCAGACTGCCTTGACCTGCACTGACTTTCTCTTCACTTCATCACATCGACTATGCTTGCTTCTTATACGTAACCCCTCCCCCATGCCGCCCCCATCACCTCTGGAACATGTATCACCCCAAATCCTCGTGTGAGATTCGACGTTTCGGAATGTCGATCAGTGACTACACCTACTTTTAAAATTTATTCCTTTTCCTCTCCCTCTATCTGTCATATAATCCAGGCGCCGGAAATGACTCCCCCGGCTGTCTTCTTTTTGCCTGTCCTTTGTGCTCTCTTGATTGTACATAGCGCCCCGGTTCAGGCCCAGAATATTCAACGTGAATCCAAATCGGCCGCGCCCCCAACAGTGGACAAACCGCTGTTAGCAATTCAAATTGGGAGCATAGTTGGCGCCTATGTGATCTTCGTCGCTGTCCTACTAGCTCTACTTATATTCGTCGGACGACGCCTGCGTCGGACAGTACAGTCCTCCAATTATACACTGCATATGGAAATTCTGAAGCCTGCCAGACCTCCTGTCATGGATCCCAGCCCAGTCTCTCCAATGTCACACAACCTCCCCAGTCCCAAGTCAAGTGGGTTCAGGTCCTGGGGATCATTGAATAGGAGTGCCAGGCCCTCCCAACCATCCGCGAACGGCAGCATGGTGACCATCGACGAGTCCATTGTCGCAAACGACCGACAACGAGCCCAGCATGATATGGAGATGCTCTATGCGGCGGTCATGGAACATGACTCTCAAAAAGCTTCTGGAGTTGATCTGTCTGTCCGCGAACAAGACCTCCATGCACACTCACCGGACAGTCAGCTCACAAATCCATTCACTGACCGTGGCTCTCACGTCTCAGAGAACTCATTGGCACCATTGGCACCATTGAAGTCCCCAACCAAGGGATTCAACAGCTCCCGCTTATCCAAGCTTTTCAACTCAGGCTCCCGCGCCAATCCAGACCCGAGCAAAGTGCGCTCACCGCGTCTGGCTATCCGCAAAATGCCCATTTCCTCCCCACTAGCCTCGCCAGCATTGGCCACGCCTCAAGCCTATGTGCCCGAAAACCCGCCTCTTTCCCCGCGGATTTATAACCCCGGTCCTCCTCCAGTGGTACCGCGACAGCAGGCGAGCGAGCCAATCAGGCCGGCTCCTGGGCGTGCCCGTCCACCGGCGCCTCTAACCCTGTCTACTCCCTCGCCTTCTTCCACAGTCCCGTCTAACCTACCTTTCCGTGAGGCGTACCCGCCCCAAAGTGCTCCGGCTACCAAGACCACTATCTTGGAACGACCGGTGAAGAACCGTGCTGGTCCTGTCACGGGCATGGCTACGCCATACAGTCCGTACATGCCATTTACTCCCGTGACGCCTTTTACCCCGGGGCGCACTGTGACAAAGCGACAGCGGAAGAAGGAGGAGCGTGGGAATGGACTGCAAGTATTGAACGAAGATGATTTGGTCAAGGATGACGATGATATCTGGGGATGATAATCCAGCAGTGGAAAGAGATTTACTACGAAATCACCGTAGTCTATTTCGCTTAAGTGTTAGGCGCCTTTTATAGGTAGGCATGGACCCCATTTATTTCTAGAACGATCGTGTGACATGTAAAGCTCTATCCTCAACGAAATTCCCGTACGTTCCTATTCACTCCTGCCCCAGGGCCCTCTGTATTGGCCTGTGGCTTTAGCATCTCACCCTCTGTGGTATTACCACTCGAGTTCTACTATAATGATCTACATAAAACAGCATCGAAATGACCCGTCAAGGGTCCGCTTTTGACTATGTAGTTAGGTGATGTAAAGCTATATACCTATGTACTTGATTTCCTCTGCCACTTCTTGGCCTTCCCTTTCCGCTTTAGAGCTCAGGCCTTGCCGCTTTTTGCTCACTGAGTACAACTGAGCACGCCCCTGAGTATTACATAATCACCAGGCTCGCTCACTGAGCATCACCTGATCGTTATATAAGCTGCTGGATGACACCTGGGCGCTTAGAGCAGCCTGATCTTACTCACTGAGCATGACCTGAGCGCTCTGACCAGCTCACTGAGCACGACCTGATTATTACATAAGCTCAAGGACTTGCTCACTGGAGCAGCGCGGGGAGCAGCTAAGTCAGCAGCTCACCTCAATAAAATGCACCACGCTAGCCCTATTCAAATAGACCTCAAACCCGCCCGCGAGCGGCCCTCTGAGGGCCGCCGGCAGACCCGCACTTTTGCGGGCGGAGGGCGGGCTATTTTCTTGCCCTCCTAGGGCGGCCCTCTAAACATTTTGAGGGCCGACAAATATAACAAATATAGAAATCTGCTTAGATGTATAAAGTATATAGGTTTCGGCGGTATTTTTTAGTATTCTATTTATAGCTTAGTAGGATAAAAATTAAGAAAGTATTTACTACTAGGCGAGAAGCTGTAAAGGAAAAGCACTATGGATGCGGAACCAAGATCTTCATGTATATTTAACTTCTTTATCTCGAGCTTCTTTGAGGTTTGCCAAGGATTGACCATGTGATTACCCTGACAACTGCCATGTCCGAAAGAGGATTCGGAGGCTAGCTAAACATATCATCGTGACGGACACGATTTAGGGACGAAGAGGTATAAGACTGCCTTGTTACGCACTGCAAACTGGTCACAGTTAGGGTTAGTAGATCACGGGTTATATTTGAAATGGGATCTCCGATCTTCCAACGTCAACGATCTGTCTCTCAACCGTACTGTTGCCAACAGGCCTTACTGCAGGTTAGGTCCTTTCGAGGGTATCGAGGAACGATGCCAGGTAGAGCGCTCAGTGGGTCTATACCGGGGTATTGGCCAACTGATGGGTGTTGTCAAGTTATAATCAAGTAAGAAGTCACACTGGTAATCCAAAGGTAAACACAAGTAACAATGTATAATTGAAGACGAAGAAATAAACTAGATACTGGAAATGAGTGTCCTTATATATCCCTGAGTTCTCCTACTCCCAGATATACTCCTGCGTATACTCCTGGAGTCGACGCGGGAGTCACGGTCACGTGGTGGGTTTTTGTGTACGAAAACGTATATCATTGATCACGTGATGCTGTTCATCTGGGGCCGTCCCCCGGATAACCAACAAGGAAGGCGGTGTTAACAGGCAGAACTGGTCGATTGGGTCTCGACGGCCCGTCCGTGCAACATGTGGGGTTGCCATCGATTAGCAACTAGCATGTCCATAACACCTATCTAGCCACTCTATCCGGTATAGCCGTTATCTATACGCCTTCCCTACTACTATACCGCTTACTAGAGTTAGTACGGTCCTAGATACACTAGTTAGACGGTAGCGCTAGTCGAACCCACTCGTTATAGTAGAGTTAGATACGCTCTTTAGGCTAGACGGACGGAAAGACACTGCGATTGGTGTTCGGTTCAAGAATCGCACTAGAGGGAGGCGAGATCATCCATTTCAAGAGAAGTCAGATCGGACTCCGCATTCCGAGGTCCGATCTTCGAGATGCGATAAGAAGATCTGTCGACGATCGATGGGTCCGTAAGGTCCCGTACGTAGCAATGAATTATCACTAAAACAGCTGTTCTCCTCTAAGTCCGTCCGTCCACCTGTTACATACTGTCAGAGCATGGAGCAGTAACTTACCACTAGCAACTAAGTGGTCATACAGGAGATCGCGTTTCTTTGGTTTTGTGTGTTAATGCCTGAGACTGGACGCGTGAGCCTTTGGACCACATCATGGCAGGCGTGGCTCATTTTCGGACCTTAACAATACCTGACAAAATTATGAACAGTATAATGTCGAACAAGGGAACAATTGAATAAGACCGTTTGTGTACTATTAGAGCTCCGAACATAAATGAAAAGCACATGTCCGCCATGAAGTTGTCCCGAAAACACGTCCAGCACCATCAACATCGCGGCTCGCCGTTCAAGGGCTCGAAATCCCAAGACCTGGCAACACAAAGTCAAAACTCATATTAAAAACATGGCTACCAAAATTTTGCACTTGCTTACGTCCGACCGTGCATGCCTGCGTATCGTCCCAGTGCCATCATAGGGAAATAGTGACGATATAAACTATACCCCAAGAAAAAGTGGTTTGGGAAGCCCGTCCCTGTGTAGCGGGATTCTGGCCATGATGCTTCTTCAGCATGATCGGATAGAGCCTGTGTTCGCAACAGATACTCCACTCCACTTTGGATCGCCTTCTGGTTGTGTTGAGGATGGGCGAGGAGCGCCATCAAGGCCCAACCTGTCTGCGAAGCAGTAGAGGGACCATGGCCAGCCAATTGGGGCTCTCTGTAAGATTCCAATGTCTCCCCCCATCCACCGTCGGAATTTTGAATTTCTCTCAGCCACGCGTGTGCAGGGCCGAGGCATTTCGCCACAACTTGTTTATAGTTTTCCTGTTTGGAAAAGAGAGCTAGGCCACAGACCACATTGCTGGTGCCGTATATGTAGTTCGCTCCCCACCGGCCATACCATGCACCGGTAGCTTCTTGTGTGCAATTGAGATACAGAACTGCACGGTCGCAGGCAGCACTCATGTCGCTGACCAGTTTGACTGGGAGCTTGCTGGTTCCTTGGCAAAGAAGTCCGAATGCCTCGAGGACCCGGCCCGTGACATCTGCCGTGGAAGGGTCGCATAGCGCCTCCATGTCACTGAAGGGAATTTTGTTCAAGAACAGGCGATCATTGTGGATGTCAAATGCACCCCATCCGCCGTCATTGTTCTGCATACCAAGAATCCATTGCACGGCCTTGATAACCGGAAGCAAGGAGCCCTTCAGTTGGGGATCTTGTTTGATCATGGCCAGAACTGCAGCAGCGGTGTCATCCACATCAGGGTACCATCGGTTGAAATACTCAAAGCTAAATCCACCTGCAGTGATATTCGGCTTCAAGACCCTCCAATCGCCCTCTGGACCACAGATCTGGCGATGTTTGACCCAATTCATCGCATGAGCAGTGTGATGTGAGGCCATGTTAGCATCGCAAAGTCCAATGGTGGAGAGAATTGTATCCCACACGGGAGAAACACAAGCCTGCACCCTCTTACCCCTTTCATCGGACCATGCAAAGCGCTCGATGGCCTCGAGTCCTTTTTGAACGGGGGAATCCTTAAGAGTGTATCTTTCAAGGCATAATGCCAATATACCGACATGCATTGGCGGAAAGATCCCAGCCCAGTCGCCTTCTGTCTCTTGATGTTCCAGAATCCAGTCGATGCATTTCCGCCTGGCGTAGTAACGCGTGGGAGAATTACGCAATCCACCGAGCATATGCAGAATGCGATCAATCACGACAAAGCTCGTGGCCACGGCATCGGTTTTCACAAGTTGCCAAAAGGGTGGGGAGTAGGGCACATTCTTTTGTGCTGGATTACCCCATAGCTCGTCCAAAAAGTCATTTGTGTCGGACTTGCCGTTTGGGAGGGCGAAAATTGGACGATGGTGTGAAACAATCAGAAGAGGTACAATGGTACTGCGTGCCCACGATGCAAGTCGGTAAATGCTAATAAGCGCAGCGTTGGGCATCATGATTAACTCTGCAGGAAGCTCTGGGGTCGCACTCCATGGAAAAAGCCCGAAGGTTGCTAGGTAGAAGCGCGTGAAGATCCGCACTTTGGCGACACCACCAGCAGAGATAATGAAGTCTCGGGCCTTTCGCATGATCGATGTGTCTGGCTCAACACCAAGGAGTTTCAATGCAAAATAGGCCTCGACTGAGGTCGAAATTTCACCTGGATCGCCCTGTGCGAGTGACCATGATCCATCTGGGTTTTGATCTGACAAGAACCAAGCAACTAGTTCATTGCGATCTACTGTCATGTCCAGGTTCAAGGCCTGGCGAAGCATCACATATTCGGCCGTGATTGTAGCGTTGGATTTCAGCTCACCGCACCAATGGCCGTCCTGATGTTGGCGCTGGATTGAGTAATTTGCCGCCTGGCGAAGGGCATGTTGTACTTGGCCCAGTAAGTTCGAAGAATCAGTGGCAATGCTTTGGGAATTGATGCTGATCATATTTGCGGCCGTGGATTTCGAATTGACGCAGATTGTGTTTGCCGCCATGTTAAAGATTCAAATTTATCCGTATCCCGCCAGGTCACACATACGCACATCGGATTCATACTTCGTGTCTACAAGGAGATTCAAATTCAATGAATACAAAGAGTTAGTACAACACGTGAGGTGAGAGATTTCAGCTGAGACCCGATCGAGAGATCAGACGGACGATCGACGGCTGGAAGCCGACATGACCCGATGAAGATATGGATGCAAGGTATAATATTCCGTAAAGATTGCCGATCTCCCAAACCAATGACTTCTAGGGCACATAGTAATGCACTAGAGTATGGCTTAGGGTGGATAATGTCTCGGTCAGAAAACATCGGTGTGCGTGTGAAGAGTGTCGATCAGGCTACCCGGTGGATCTCGGATGGATCTCGGATGGATCTCAACCAAATCGAGATGGGACAGATCGGCGCATCCACAACCTTGGAAATCGAGGACCCCCACAGGGCTCAAGAGTCCATGTTTTCTTTTAAAAAAACTCCGTAGTACTGCTGGTCAACCTGGTTTATCCGCCAACCCTTCTTTTCCTCTGTCATTTAAGTTTATCTCTCATTTTTATCGTTTCTCTTTCCTTTCTGATTGAAATGACTGTTTGGAGCCCCTGCTCCATACTCGCTACTTATGGTGCACTAGCCTTCGGGCTAGTGCTCGTCGTTCGCACATGGGTTCGCCCCCAGCGAGTCCCTCCTGGGATTCAGTGGGCAGGCAAACGACCCAATGAGTTCCTGGCGGAGATTAGAGCCTGTCTGCGTGAATATACCACAGGTATTACCACGATGATGTCAGCCTATAAGAAATTCAACGTCGCCGGGATACCGTTCCTCCTGCCCACGACGGGGTTCGAACCTCAAGTGATGCTGCCGCAGGAATGGATCAAATGGGTTGTCGACCAGCCCGAGGACATCTTATCCTCGCGGCAGGTTCAGGGCGAAAGGCTAGGCCTCAATTACATTCTGCCCGCATTGGATATTACTTCCGACGTCGCGATCATTGAAGCAACTCGTATTCACCTGACCCGGAACGTTGGGAAAGTGCAGGCTAATCTGGTCGATGAACTACGTCAATCTGTGGATAAAGTGTTTGGGATGAACACTGAAGAGTGGTCAGAGGTTAATGTCCACAGCGCGATGAAGGAACTTACGTTCAAGTCGACCGGACGCGTTCTGTTTGGTCATTCTTTGACTCATAACGAAAAGTTCATGCATGGCCTCTCGGGCTTTTCGACTTGGTTCGGTATAGGGATTATTCTGGTCGGACAATTAATTCCGTGGCAGTTTCGACGATTCGTCGGCTCTCTATGTGCTTTACCAATGGCGTACTATCGGGCCATATGCACGAGGCATGTCGGGCCGGTGTTTTCCGAGCGGTTTGAGAACATGCAGCGTAAGATCCACGACCCAACCTTCGATTATTCCCCGCCGGAAGATTTGATCACCTGGGTGTTCCGCGCCGCGTTTAACATGAAAGACCAAACGATCACGAATGGCAAGCCGTTAGCAAGCAGATTCATTCTCCTAGTAAGTCACTCTGATTCGTGATCCAATCAACCATATCTATGTTTATTTTGATAAGTTGTTAATGTATTCGCTGCCTAGATGTCGGGAGCACTTTCATCATCTGTGGCGATAACTACGCACGCGCTTGTTGACCTTCTGGGGTCTGACCCGCAACACAACTATGTCGAGTTATTGCGGGAAGAGTCCGAGTCGACGTTTCTAACGGAAGATGACTGGAACCGCTCGACTTCGCTTTTGAAATTGCATCGCTTGGATAGTGTATTCCGAGAAAGTCTCCGACGCAATCCTCCCACTCTACGGGGCTTATCGCGACAGGTGATGCCTAAAGAAGGCGTGATACTCCCAAATGGCCAGAAGATTCCGCAAGGAGCGTGGATTGGAGTTCCGGTCTTAGCCATCCAGGCAGATGAGCGATTTTACGATCAGCCTGATGTGTTTAGTCCGTTACGCTTTGTGCCCACCGAAGTGGCCAAACGAACTCTTATGGTGACTACTAGCGATACATTCCTGCCTTTTGGTCATGCCAGGGGCTCTTGGTATGTGATTTCAGTGTAATAAGTCGTGAACGAAACATGCTAATGCCCCCTTCCCCAGTCCCGGTCGTTGGTTTGCGTCCCATTTCATGAAATTGCTCTTTGCCTATATCATGATCAACTATGAGCTGGAACCACTGGAGGGAGGAAGACCTCTCAACAAGGTTGTTGGTGACCATCTAATACCTCCAATTCAGGTTTCCATCCGTGTTCGGCGAAGAGCCTTACCTACGGAGCCTAAGGGTTCAAGTCTCTAAACGGCTTCGAACCGCGAGCCGCACCACTAGATAGCTCAGAACTAGTGATGAGTGATCGATACAATCATTCTCAACTCATAGCCTATCGAACAAACTCATATATCCAAAAAATATTGCTGCGGTATTACAAATTGGTCAACGAATTCAACCACATATACGTGTAGTAATTTTAGCTCAGCGGTTACCTCCACAAAACTCACTCTAGGTGCATCCTCCATTTGCCACATCCAATCTAACGATACCCACACTGCATAAGCACATGTGAGCCCTTTCATGCAAGGGATTGAGGTAATCGGCTAGCTTGAGTACCTGGCAATAACCACAGAAACTCTCTTCATTGTCAATTGCTATGCGTGTTCATAATCTCGACCAAATGACTAGCCTGTCTTTATCGAGGTGGGCTTGGCTTTGAAATCGTGAAAGTAGCGGGAGGCTCTTTATCTGAAAGAAGAAACGATCGTGACTCGAGTTTATTCAAAGATGTTTCTTTCGGTCACCCATTTTTAAAGACCTAAGATGTAATCATCATTGAACGAGTTCTGGTAGGCCCCGTTTTATGCTTTGACAGAAATCCAAAAGAAGCATGCGTAGGCGTGGGCGGAGATCGGGGGTGCGTGGCAGGACTTCTGGCGAATCGCGGGCCTAGAACTGCCTCACTTGCGGCGGTTTCTGGCAGCCTTAGGGCACTCTAGGTAGATAGATATTCACCTACCTGAATATTCTTCACCCGGATATTCAGCCCGTGCAGCAAAAGGTACATTTCCTCATTCTGATCGAGAAAGTTTAAGTGACCTTCTTTTTTCCTCCGCTTTCATCTCTCCAGCTTCGCTTTATCACTCTAACCTCGCTTTTTCACGAGCAAGATGCGTACTAAGCATGACCTAACGTTGAATTATATGGCTAATGTTATAGATTTCGGGAAGTAGAGTAAATGGAATCCAGCCTGCAGTGCTGCCACGAACAGAATCTGGTTATAGTCATAAGTTACTAATTTTCGATAAGTGAGTCTCAGCCCTAGGACCCGGACCTTCGTCTTCTAGCATGGAGCTACCTAACACTCAAACTGGAGTGGATTCTATTCTAGTTACCACGTATGGAATAGGGTACAATAAAGTGGTTTACTAAAGCTATCTAGATATCTATATACAGAGATGCATGAAGTTGTCTATGCCACAATAAAGTTTCAACACTTTCCTGTGTTCCGGGCGACCCAACATTTTGCTCCGCTCCCATCATGCACTCGGCGACTAGGCTACAAACAATCCTACCTAGCTAGGTAGCCACGTAAACATTTCACGCATATTATTGTCTATGCTAGATTGATTTCCCTTTCCGGGGCGGCGTGATGGGGGAGCATATAAGAAGGAAAGCACGTCCTCTGCCCAGACCAGTTACCCGCCTCTTCCTTGTTCTGTGTCTGAAGCCAAGATGCGTGGTGTCTCGGTGCTCACCTATATTTCTCTGATAGCATGGTCCCATGCTCGGGCACTCCAGGTCAATCCCCAGGTCAGCTCCACTCCGCCGCCCCTGGGCCAGGACACCAGTCCAGCTGGAAGTGCTCCGTCCGCCGTGAGCCTGCAGCCAGCTGTACATGCTGTTTCTGCAGCTGTGGATGACCCTGCGTATTGGCTGGCGAACATCGCCCATCAGGGAATTGCTGCATTCAACTCAAATCCTTCCGGCTACAATGTCTTTCGTAGTGTGAAGGACTACGGAGCCAAAGGTAATGAGTGTACTTGAACATTTATTTGTCATCGGCATCACAGCTAACTGTCCTCTAGGCGATGGAGTAACTGACGACACGGCTGCCATTAATTCTGCAATCAGCGATGGCGGTCGTTTTGGCCCATCAAGCCGTCAGAGCTCCACCACCACGCCGGCCATCGTATACTTTCCGGCGGGGACCTACCTGATTTCATCCTCCATCATCGATTACTATTTCACGCAACTGATCGGCAATCCGAACTCCATTCCAGTTATTAAAGCCACTGCTGATTTCACGGGACTGGGCCTGATTGACGGAGACCAATACCAGAGCGATGGCAATCAAGGTTGGATCTCGACAAATGTCTTCTTCAGACAGATTCGCAACATAAAGCTAGACTTGACGGCTATCCCAGCCAGCTCGGGCGCGACTGGTATCCATTGGCCTACTGGACAGGCTTCGAGTATCCAGAATGTTCAGATTGTGATGAGCTCTGACCCGGGAACGCAGCACCAAGGACTATTTATCGAGAATGGTTGGACTTCCTTTAAACTTGCTTCGCCTTCTTCTAACTTCTTATTCAGGCTCTGGAGGCTTTTTGACCGACGTCACCATCACTGGCGGCTTATATGGTGCGAACGTTGGCAATCAGCAGTTCATGATGCGCAACCTGGTCGTATCGAATGCAGTCACTGGTATCTCCCAGATTTGGGACTGGGGCTGGACCTACCAGGGTATTACCCTGACCAACTGCACAACTGCGGTATCAATCAACAATGGCGGTCCGGGAAATCAGCTCGTCGGATCGGTCGTCATTCTCGATAGCACTATTCGAAACTGCCCGACCTTCATAGCTACTGCCTGGCAGAGTTCAACCTCAACAAACGGTAGTCTCATCCTGGAAAATATTGTCCTTGAAAACGTCCCCGCCGCGGTCCAAGGGCCTAGCGGTACTATCCTGGCCGGGTCGTCTCGCTTCACAACCATCAGTGCTTGGGGTCAAGGCCATAAGTATACCCCAGATGGGCCAATCAATTTCCAGGGCACCTTCAGTGCATTAACGCGTCCCAACGACTTACTTACGGGTGTATCTTCTAACTACTACACTAAGTCGAAACCGCAATATGAATCGCTTCCCGCATCCTCTTTCATCAGTATCAGAAGCGCAGGTGCCAAAGGAGACGGCTCTACCGACGACACCGCTACAATCCAGTCTGCACTGACCTCGGCTGTGTCCTCGGGAAAGGTCGTGTTTTTCGACCAGGGTGTTTACAAAGTCACCAGCACTCTCTACTTCCCACCTGGCTCCCGGATTGTCGGAGAGGGATACTCGGTTATTATGGCCAGTGGTAGTATCTGGGGGGATATCTCGAAGCCCGTCCCGGTGGTCCAGGTTGGCAAGTCTGGGCAGGCTGGGTCCTTCGAATGGTCCGACATGATTCTTAGCACGCAGGGGTCTACTCCTGGTGCCGTGCTGATCGAGTGGAACCTAGCAGCAGACTCGGGGTCGGGAATGTGGGATGTGCACACTCGGATTGGAGGCTTTACGGGCTCCCAGCAACAAGTTGCGCAGTGCCCAATTCCTGCAGCGGTCTCGGTGGCTTGCGAGGTTGCGTATATGTCCATGCATATCACAAGCACCGCGAATAGAGTCTACCTAGAGAACGTCTGGCTATGGACAGCAGACCATGATCTCGACAGCGCAGACAACACTCGAATCTCTGTCTACACTGGTCGTGGTCTGCTGGTCGAAGGAGAGAACATCTGGCTGTAAGTGCAGCGACCCCCGAGACTTGTCTCATCACTCATCAGCTCTAGCTACGGAACCGGAAGTGAGCACCACTCGCTATATCAGTACCAGTTCTCCAGCGCCAGGGCAATCATGGCAGGGTTTATCCAGACCGAAACACCGTAAGTGACCCTCCAGACTGAACAATCTTAAACCTAACGCAGCTTCTCCCAGGTACTATCAGCCCAATCTCGATGCAGCCAACGGGCCCTACCCGACGAACGCCATTCTCAAAGATCCCGACTACAGCAGCTGTCTCCCCGGAAACTGCGACGCTCTCAGTCTGCGTGTGCTCGACAGCCAAGACATCCTCGTGTACGGAGCTGGCTTCTACAGCTTCTTCAACAACTATGACACCGCGTGCTCCACTTTCCCGGTCCCGGAGAACTGCCAGAGCGAGATATTCAGCGTTGAAGGGAGCACGAGTGGCTTGGTGGTGTATGCTCTCAGCACTGTGGGGACAACAAACATGATCGTCAGAGACGGAATCTCACTGGCGGTAGTCAGCGAAAATCTGGCGACGTATGCTGCTACCATTGCTTATTTTACTCTCTAGTCATGTGGCTTTCGCTTGTTCTAGTTCATGTTATTGCAGGAATAGTTGCTCCATACCAGGTTTAGCATAGTCTTCACAGATATAGGTGAACAGTTTCCTGGAAAAAGCTCGTCAAGGCACCATCCTATGTGGTCATAAGACAGATCTCCGCAATCGTTGTATTGCCAATATTAACATAGCTTGTCATCCCCATTTCATCGCGCGGTCGCATCTCGAATAGCGCGCCGGAGTTCAAGATCATTCGCGTTAATGGCCGTGTGTTGCGAAGTAAAGAATCTATTATGGCAAAGCTCGGCGATCTTGTTACCACTAGCATATTCTCAAGCCACCCAATCTTACGTCGTAAGTCAAAGACTGGCCGGGTTGAATAGCTTCATGTTGATACCATAGTGGCAGATTAGGTGACTTATGGATAGCTTTATATTCATAACCTTGGAATTAAGGTGGATCAAAAGCTTCTACATGGGAGATTGTAAACTACCTTCAAAACTGGAGATACAGAGATTTGTATGGGATCAAAAGCTTCATCTTACCTGCCTAAGAATTACCTAGGTAGCTAACGTATTTCACTAGCGAATGGGCCACACGGGCGAGCGGGCCACCCAAAAACACCACAGTAAATGCGATATATTACAACTTGATATCTCAACAACCGTGGTCTATAGGGACCTTTCCTTATAGCATAGTGCTTTATAGGTGATATCTAGCATATCTAGGAGTTTGGAGAAAGTTCATTTCTTTATGACTGCGATATAGATTTTTCTAGATTTTAGGAACGTAATTTTCGGTAATTTATGAAATGACAGTAACATAGTATTTTACTCTCTTTGAAATTGATATATAGTGCTAATAAGTCTTATCAATAACTATCGACAAACGGGGAGGTAGAATAAGCATATGGTTGTTGAGATATAAATGTGGAATATATCGCATTTACTATGGTTCTTCACCAGTATTTGGACTATATTTCTCTAAAACAAGGGCAACGTAATTGTTATTCTCTCCGACAGAACCTATTTCTGCCAAACATGGGCCATCTCCGCTCGAATCATTGCCATCAAGACGACCTATCCATTACCATTAACTATTAGCCATGCCTCTCATATATCACAAAATATTCAACATACCAAGCTGAGGTCTACCCCTTGAGCCACCCGAACCCGAAAGACCGAGATATCTCGATCCCGCACAAATCGCTTCTTGATATTGTTTGAATGGACCGAGATCTCCGCAATCGTTGTATTGCCAATATTAACATAGTTTGTCATCCCCATTGCATCGCGCGGTCGCATCTCGAATAGCGCGCCGGAGTTCAAGATTTTCGCGTTAATGGCCGTGTGTTGCGAAGTGAAGAATCTATTATGGCAAAGCTCGGCGATCTTGTAACCACTAGCGTCTTCTACAAGCCACCCGATCTTACGTCGTAGATCAAAGACTGGCCGGCCCGAGGCATCCTTTAAAGGTCGCCTTAGCGTCATCGAGCTATAACCCCCCGGGCCTTTGACAGAGAAGAGTTTCTCGCCATTATCACCAGCGATCGTGATATCTTGAAGATGGCGGTCGTGAACCCTTACCCATACGACAGATTCCTGCTCGGTCGTATAGCCTTCGGTCAGGCAGACTGGTGAAGGTGGAGCTTGAAGCTCTGCATCCATTGTGAATGTGGGCGCTAAGAGTAGGAGAACCAGGTAGACATTTGTTGTGACCAGGTGTAGACAGGACAAGGGGGTGTGGACAGATAGGAAAGAGAAAAACAGGGGAGTATAGGGTCTCTATGCCCTAACAGCAAGAGACTACGGTCTGTGCAGTGGTGGGTCTGTTCAGCCTGCATATACGCGAAAGGAAGCAAGTTAGTTGACCGGCTGAAGGAAGGCGGGAATAGTGCTCGCGGGGCTTTTCCACGTCAACGCGGGATACTTGGGGGCCAAAAGCATTATGAAACAGACTATGAAAGGATTATGGGAGTTCAAATTGCCAGTATACCGCAACAGCTAGAGTAGGGGGGTGTGATGGGAGGAAATTGGATTGTACGAAAGTGGAACTCTGAGACACCGGCGTCGACAACTGCGATCATTGGCGCTCCGCCGGATAGTTAAAGTGGACCAAGCTTTCCGTGGGGCCAGAGGTAAATATATGAGCGCCAATAGTGTATGGGTCTGGTATTTTACGGAGTATATAGTCCTGGAGGGGATGGAGATGTACATGTAGGTACATATGTAGTGATGTTAGAGGCGCTCGGCATATTTTACCGCGTGTATCCATAGAATATGGGCAAGCGGTGGGCCGGGAGGACCTTGTCACTGTAGATACTGCGGCGCACGGTCAAGTAGCGGCTTGCAGGAGTTACAAATGGAAAGGCAATTTTTTGGTCTTCAAAGGGATCATTTTCAGTGTCGATTCGACAGGTCCTTAGACGGGTGTGTACATACACTGGCTAACTATATAGTCATTTCAGAATCTAATATCTCCACATGCATAACCCGTATAGCTAGGTACCCATCTAGATCTCATCTACATTTTCTCCTTCAAATGCGTATTCCCTCTAACAATTGCCTCCGCGAAATCCGACCTCGTCCCCGCCTTCTCAAGACTCAAAAGCGTTTGAATCGTACAGCCCCTCGGCGAAGAGATACTCTCCCTAACGGCAGCCGGATGCTGTCCAGATTCCAAAACAGCCGACAAGCCCCTAATACCCTGCAAAACCAACTCCATCGCATCCCCACGCTTAAACCCCTCCGCAACACACCCATCCAGCAGCCCCTCAATCGGCAGCGTCAACGTCGCCATCGTCGCCCCAACAAGCACAGTCGCCAACCCGATCTGCTCAGCACCTAGGTACTTAACCGCACCGACATGCTGGAAAATCCACTCCGTAATGGCAACCATGGAGCTCGGGATCGTCGGTGCGGGAGTCTCGATAATCGTCATCGATGCGTTAAACTGCGCACCCATGTTCGGGATAGCTTTCATGAGATGCGGGGCTTCTGGGCTGGGATCTGGGTTGATGAGACGGGTTAGGGCCTCGCATGATTGGCCTGCAAGCATGCTGATGACGAGCTTTCCAGCGAGGGCGTCGCGGACACCTTCTTCGCTTAGCACGGCCTCGGCCATGAAGGGTTTGCAGGCGAGGATTATTATGTCGGCCTGTTGCATTGTTTGTAGGGTTTGGTCAAAAACGATTTTGATTAGTTGTTGATGTTGAGGTGCGATTGATGTTTGTAGACGGGATGCCGAGCTGGCTGTTTTTGTGCACGCGATGAAGCAAGTGATTGGATTTGGTGAGGCGCTTTTTGTTGAGAATGCGCTGTTTAGGAGGCCGTTTAGTACGGCGCCTCCCATGTTACCTTGTGGAGTTTGTTAGTTGTGGTTTATTATGGATGGTTATGTTTACTTACCGCATCCGATGAATCCGAGAGTTTGTCCTGCAGCCATTATGTGATCCCAGATGCTGAGAGAGATGGAAGGTCAATCGTGTTCGGAGTTGAGGGGTTGGCTATCTTTTTGACTCATGCATGTCGGGTGAGGTGTCCGACATTGGCGGCAGCCGATGCCGACATTTGTTTTGACAATGAATAGTATCCTAGGAGATTACGGTTTTTAAAGACTTGTCTTTTTTCTGAAGTATTTGAGATGATACGCCAATCGCCATCGAATTATAGCTTATGCTTCTGGCTTCATGTCTATAGGTGAATAGATGGGTTACTTCCGAATATCATCTAGACCTGGTGAAATAACTATGTATAAGTGGATTTCTTGGTTTCCCTTTAGAGTCTGCCTAGAATATGAACATGGGCTATCTATTCCATTAACGAATACGAACACTTAACCAAGTTACATATGCATGTGTATCTGATTCTTGCCTCAGGCGCCCAAATCCGCCCGTAACAAATTTCCGCATTGGGATTGTGCATCGAATGCAGCAGGGATTCCTTATCATCTTCGATCTTTTCACTTCTCCTCTTTTGACTAGATCTTCTATATCAGTCAAGATTTGAACCCTCCTGTGACTTGAATTCATCGAACTGAGCAGTTGTTTTATTTGCAGATCGCCCCGCTCTTTCCCCCCACCTCAGAAGTCACAGCTGTCGTCATCCTCGGAGAAGGCGACTTGGCTCTTTCCGACACTTATTTCGGTCGTCGATCGCTTTTTACTCCATTAGGACTTGGCGAATAACCTGTGTGTACAATAATAGGTAAGTTGTTTCACTATCATCTTGGCAGAGGCGTGGCTTGGACCTGGACTGTCTTTGGCTAACTGGAACTTCTTCGCAGATCTTAGACTTTCTCTTCCCTTTCCTCCATTAATCGTTTACACCTCTTTCCTTTTGTGTTCCCCGTACCAACCGCCTATATGCCTCTCACCGTCCTCTCCGGATCCCAGCTTCGAGAACTGCTACACGCGCTCTCTCGCGGCGAGATCCTTAATCTACAGCGTAATCTCGCCGAGGCCCTACGTGAATATTCCAGTGGATCTCAGGAGAAAGGCTGCTCGGCAGCTTACCAACCCCAGCGAACTGCCATTACTCGTCAGAATGGCTGTACCACCCTGTTTATGCCCGCCAGCACGGGCCAGACAATTGGCATCAAGATGGTCTCCCTGCAGGACGGGGGCGCTGCCGGCTGTTCTATTGAAAGGGACACAGTGGATATGCAGGAGAAGGAACAGATTTCCTCGCGCAGACAAGGCTCTTTTCGAGACTCGGTGGCTTCTATATCCTCCGACTTGAGCGATTTGTCTGTGGGCTCCCAAGAAGACAAAGAGGACAGCAACTCGATCAGCCCCGTTACAACCACCACCACCAACGACAGCAGCGCAGCAGGATCAAGTACGGGTAGTTCCACCCTCCTTACTGGCTGTGTCAATCAGCAAAATGTCACTTCGAACATTTCAAGAACTCTTGGCGCTTGGCCGGGCGCAGGAACTCGTGACACATCGCCGCGCGGCAGTGTGACACTCCTAGATGGCGAAAGTCTGCCATTCGCCTTGATCAACGCCCATGAGCTGACGGCATTCCGTACGGCATTGGCTTCGCTGATGATGTTCAACAGGCGCAAGAAGGTGCGCACTATTCTCGTATTCGGCGCGGGCACTCAGGCTTATTGGCACATCCGCTTGGCGTTGGTTCTCCGCGGTGAGGACATCCGCCGGGTATATATTGTGAACCGTTCTTTTGATCGCGCAGCCAAGCTTCTGCAAGAAATCTATCAGCCCGAAAATACCAAATGGCGCGGGGATGTCAAGTTTTCCGCCGTCAGCACCGATTTCGGCGAGTATAGTCGCATTTTGAAGGATCATGTGCGCAAGGCCGACGCGATCTTCTGTTGCACTCCCTCTCCGGAGCCACTTTTCCCTGCGGAGTACCTCACCTCGGGCGAAGGCCGTCAAAAGGGGCGGTTGATTTGTGCGATTGGATCATACAAGGCACACATGGCCGAGATCCACCCGGATATCCTTCGAGATGAGGTCAATCTGCAGGCTACCCATAGCCATTGGCATAAGCAGATCCACCGTAGTGGTGTGATTCTAGTGGATAGTCTAGACGCGGCCATGAAAGAGGCGGGCGAGATTATCCAAGCCGGAATTAGGCCGAAACAGGTTGTCGAGGTGGGTGAACTACTGATGGTGCGTGATGCCACCCGTGACGCGGCTACTGTGGACGAGGAAAAGAGCCTGCGTGAGTGGGCACAACGGGGGAATGTCATCTACAAATCGGTTGGGCTTGGACTGATGGATCTCGTGACTGGCGGAGATTTGGTCCGCTTGGCACGGGAGCGGAAGTTGGGGACCACAGTGGAGGACTTTTAAGGGCGTTGAAGGGCTTTGACGACTTTTGATTCGATACCTTTTTGCTTATTTTACATTGCTTCCTATTGGCTGATCTTCTTGGACTTGTCTCGTTCCAGGGAAATTTCGAAGATCTGTTGATCTCCAGGAGCCACAATATCTTTAAATTAAGAGAAACTTGAATTGAAATAACAAATACATGAAATAATATTGCCAAAGCCTTGATTTGAGTATGAAATAGCATTCTAGAGCTGGAAATAAGAGAAAGAAACAATATCTTTTATATAATTCTAGCTTGGAGATCAAGTAAAAGCTTGTAAATATCTACATACGGTGGTAGTGGGCTGATGGTCTGCGTCATCGGGTATGTAACCTCCAGGACTCTCGGGCAATCTTCCCTCTTACTTTTTCTCTGAGCAATCTCCAGCTTCGCATTACCAATCCAGCTATTGGCATTGGATCATTGCTTTGGCTTCTTCGGCTGCTGCTGTTGTTGTTGGTGCACGATTCCTCCACCCCGCGCAGTGAGGGGCCAAAGCAGAGATTAAAGTCTTCCCTATAAAACGGCCTTGTGACTCCCCAGAACACCCCAAAAGGTATCCTCGCCATGCGAAACACTACCTGCTACTTGCCCAATGGCCTCACTTTTAACGTATCGCCCGTTTTTGGTGGAGTCACGTTCAAATCCGCCGATTTCAACGTACAGCAGAACTCCACCTTCCCTCCAGGTTGGACAATCATAATCCACACAGAGAAGCCTCGCAAGATAGAGGAGCAGAAAGATGAAAAAGATTCGGAGAAACCCCGCGACGATGACGATAATTTTACCCGTTTCACTACCCCCACCTTGAACCGCGACTCCCTCTACATCTCGTATATAGTCAACCCACCGTCCAGCGAGTTCAAGCCCGTGACTTCACCCACGCGCCAGATCGCCATGATGCTCTGGGCAACTCTATGGTGGTACTTCCACGAGCCAGAACCAGACCTGCACGTGGAGACCGCCGCGTCAAGCATGACCCCGCCCGACGGACGACCAAAAGGCGTATGGCGGGTAAACATCAAGCGCGAAGGGATCTTCAAAGGCCGGAACCTCCTCCAGAAGCTCGAGCGGATGGGCCTAATAGCGACCGAAGATTCCTCCGTTGGTCTCCAGCCCATCGAAACCCGCGACTCAAGCAGCTGGTCAACGATGTTCGTAAGCCGACGCAGCTTCTGGCAGCTGGACCCACGGCTATTCCTCTTCACACTCACGCCGAGCAGAGGCCGCGCCTCAACACCCCCCTTACGGTCGCGGAATGCGTCGCCCGCGCCCGACGGCACACCCATCGCACCGCCGCAGGCGCTAGCGCCCATGGAAGCAACCTTCCACACGGCGAATATGGGCCCATTCACCTCGGTAGGGCCGTTCACGTCCGGTAGCCATCTACCAACGTACTACCCGCCGCCGCCATTGCAATTCACCTCCACGAACGGGGTGCGACACCCCGTGCGCCCGAAACCGCCGCACCAGGGCGAGGTCTTCTACGTGCGCTACATCCCCAGTCTGAGCCAGTATCTATCATTCCGGGTGGCGTTTGTGCCGATGACGGCGGAGGGGGCTACCGATAGTCGACCGGGGACGCCTGTTAGCACGTCTGTGACGAGCATCGCGCAGCATCTCACTGAGGATATCTCCTCTGATCTGGACACGCTGCACCGGTGGATGAATGTCCCGCGGGTGGAGGCGATGTGGGCTGAAGGTGGACCGAAGTCTGTGCAGGAGAAGTTCCTGCTGTCTACCCTAACTAGCCGACACACTTTCCCTGTTATCGGGTGTTGGGACGGGAAGCCGTTTGGGTATTTTGAGATCTACTGGGTTAAGGAAGATCGGCTGGGACGACTTGTGGACCATGTGGGTAATTATGATCGGGGCATTCATCTGCTCGTCGGGGAGCAGGAGTTCCGGGGTGCGCACCGGGTTGCGGTTTGGTTGAGTGCGTTGGTGCACTACTGCTTCGTGTCGGATATGCGGACTGAATCTGTGTTGTTGGAGCCGCGGGTTGATAACATCAAGTGAGTTACGGAATTAGAGCGATAGAGTGAGGAAAGGAACATGACCATGCTAACTTCTCGCAGACTCATTAATTACCTCCAAGAAGCGGGATTCTACAAAGAAGGTGAGGTCAGCTTCCCGCACAAGCACTCTGCCATCATGAGGATCAAGCGCGAGTACTGGGAAAGTCCGGCTCTATAGAGTTGCCATAGTGGCGATTTGCATCAAGATGATCACGAGTAACGAAACAGCTAGCATTGCCTGGATTTTGACACTTCTTGTTATTTGACTTGCTTGAAACATTGTGTTGGCCATTTGCCATGGCGATTAGCCCAATAGAACGCTGGTGTGGTTATTGCTTCCAAGGTTACTGACTGTATGACATGTGATTTCACCAATGTTCAGACGTGAAGCACCAAAGCCTGCTATTGAATTCCGTCAATTTCGAAAACTCGTAAATTCCCCGGATCCACTCATCTTCGTTCCTTATTAAAGACCTCCTTTTCCCGGTGATAGGGTCTTTGAATGTAGCGCTGCGAAAAGGTTTCAGGGTATTCAGGGGTAGCCTCACTTCGTAGAGGTCAGCTCCGAATTTGGGACATGACTGGGTCACATCGGAAATCAGGTAGTCTTCGTCTTCGCTTTCAAGCTACCTGACAACGAGGGCTTGAGCCATGATACGGCGAACTGGATGGCCATCCCGTAGAAATGTTCCCAAGATTCATTGGTCGGCGTCCGGCATAACGGATGGACTGTCGGAATGTCCGCTCTTAGCAAATCTTTCCTTGATCTATCTGGCTATTGGGATTCTATCCTAGTGATCCCGTAGATCTCCGCAAGTCTGGCAAGCTCCATGGCGGCCATTATATGTCCTTTGTTGTCTTTGATATCGATATCGAATTTGATGGTACGAAGGTACAGCCATTGAAGAAGTGCCTCACTCCGGGTGGAGACAACACCTTCCATTTCTTCCAGGGTTGCCGTTTCCTCTTGGGACTCTCGAAAATTGCCTTTGAACATAGCCGAGAAGTATGGCCTCATTGCAAGAAGGGTCTTTGAAATCATGTATTCTCGATTGCTTGGTTAGATTCAAATCTTGACGAGAGGGCCGTGGAAGAGAGGAAGAGAGCTAGATATCAAAGTGAGTGTTAGATATGCCGTTTCCCAAGGAATATAGCGGACTTAAGACGTTGCGAAGTGCCGAATACTTGATCCAGATATGTCCATTGCTTCTTCTGAAGTCTCACTCATTTTGAAGACCGCGAATGATGTATTGATAATCTAGAGAGAACTACCATGAAGCATAAAAAAAAGGCCTTAAAAGCTAACAAGAAGGGGCCTGCCAAACTGCCTAAACAAACAATCTGCGCTCATTGCAACATTTCTACCTACACTCCCTTGAGGTCGATATGATTCTGGAGCCCCTGAACAGACCCGTAGGCGCATAGCAGTCCTGCCCCAAACAACTCGCAACGATTGTCACATACGACAAATATCAATGCCTTAGCACAACTGTCAATCAGACTTTCTTCTCAAAGCTCTAGAGTCTAACTCAAACCTTCTCCACAAACCATTGTTCCCCGCCAATAGGGTCTGTGAAAGCAGCACGGGGTCTCAGAGTGTTCAGTGCTAGCCTCACTTCATGGAGAAGATCAGCTGCAAATTTAGGACATTCTTGAGCTGGGTTTGGGAAGTGGTGATCTTTGCTCTGGAGATACCCTTTGACTGAGGCTGCGGCTAGAAGATGGCGTACTGGATGTCCATCGCGTAAGAGACTTGCCGAAATAATGTCCTCTTCCTCCAGCAAATGGGTGTTGCTATTGCTAGGGGTCAACTTTTCTTTATCGCCAGGAGGTATATTAGCAATAATGATTTCCTTGATGTACTCTGCTGTCTGAGATTCCAGCTTGGTGATGTCGTACTTGTCCGCAAGTCTTGCGAGCTCGATAGCGGCCGAAATACGCTTGCTGGGGCCTTCAATATCAAACTTGACACAACCAAGGTATAGCCATTGAAAGAGTGTTTCAAGACTCCGCCTAGAGACGACCCCTTCCATTTCTTTTAGGTTCACTGCCTGCTCTTGGGCCTCTCGAAAACCACCTTCGAACATGGCCGTGAAAACTGGCGACTGTGCGCAGAGGAGGTCTTTAGAAACCGTGTATTCACAACCGATAGATTGGATTCGAAATTTAACTATAGAATCATGATACAGTGGACGCCTCCTAGATAATGAAATTTTAGACAGTAGACGCCATTCCCGAGTAATAACCTACGTACGTTGTTGTGGAGTTCTCATCACTTGATCTAGAGGTCTCACCCATTTTAGCTAGGATAGACTGGCTGTTTGAAAATATTGGGCGTGAGTTGTGAAGGAGAAGATTGACGAGTGACGTGATGGACTAAGTCCTACAGATGTACGAGAGGAGAGATGATCAACAGTAGCTGAATGAGTGATGATGATAATGATCTCTAACTGCTACCATGAAGCTCATCTAAATAACTTTATGGGACCAAGGGAACAAAAGCAAACAACGGCACAAGGTATAGAAAGATCTAGCAAAAGGAGATCAAAGACTACTTGCATGAATGCATCATGACGTGGAGATGGCTTTATAGGATGACTTCTAATGTAGTTTGTTTGTTTAATACAGTGACTGCAAGTGGATGTGTAATTTAGGTCTTGAATTTGGGACCTAAGATTTCGATATAGCTGTGGCAATACCAATAGTTGCAATCCCCATCCAAGTGTCCGCGCCATGAAGCTGGCCTAACCCTCGAGAAATACCCAGAACTCCATACTGTAAGTAAACCTTTTCGTTGCTAAAGGATCTATGGAACTAACAGTCCCATTACACGGGTTGCATTCGGCCAAGGCTGTCAAGGCTAGTTGTAACTCTCGGAGAAGATCGACTGCAAAGGTAGGATAATCTTCAATCGGGTAAACTTTTGGGGCTGGCCATGAAGATACCCTCGGACGCAAGCTGCAGCCAAGGTACGGCGCGCGGATGCGCACAAGGAAAGAAGGTCCCGGAGATGATGTACGCAGGTGTGAGCCAGGTGGTGTGGTTGCTATGCGGCTTGTAGTCGGAGACATTGGCTAGCCTCTTGCAAATGGCTTCCTTAATATTTTGGACCAGTTCAGATTCTATCCCCTTAATATCGTACTTGTCCGCGAGCCTTGCAAGCTCTATGGAAGCCGAGAACGGTGGATGTCGGATCCCTTCCAAGGTCAGGCACCCAACCAAAGGCAATGTTGTCAGATTCCATAGCTTAGCTTTCTTACCTATAGGTAACTACTCACCAATCTATCACACATTGCACCATGCAGCCCGACGTCTCCGTAGACCCCTCTCTATAGGTTATGAGCCCGGAAGTTCTTCCTCTTTACGCCATGATCATCCTCCAAGCGCCTCTCTCTTCGAAACGCCATCATCACTTTTGACACCATTGTCAACAACTAAGCACTTCTCTTTTCAGCGTACCAACTACCAGGCCACTCACCTACCCACACGCGCAGTCTTCATGCTCCTTGCGCGCTTCACCCTCACAATCCGCTCTCAACTCGGTCAAGTACCTCTCCTACAACGTGCACCTTTATCCAGTGCCTCTCCATTTGACGCAACTCACCTTTCCCCGCATGCATACGCGCAAGATACATTCTTCCGACCTGGAACGAGTGGGCTCGCAAGTCTCACCGCCTTCTTTCGTACCTGCACGCTACCCACGCCGTTAGTAGCTCTCTATTCGAGGTACAGCACAATCCATAACTCAATCAATGGGGTGACAACAAGCCCGCTCCCGCCAACGCTAAATCGACTAATGTGGTCAGTGCTCCTCATATAGAACCTGTCCGAGGATGCATAAATGCGGGGAAGACCCTATACATTTCCCCACGTCTCGGTGTCTCTCGGCCTCAAGTATCATATATCAACCTCCCATTCCTACACTCCTACATACATACTTCAACCACCCCATACCAAATAAATCTCCAATCAACATCTTCAAACCAAAATGTCAATACTAGCAACCTACACCCACCAAAGCGCCATCAGAATAGCCCACCTAACAATCTCCCGCCCACAAAAACTAAACTCCCTAACAACCCCCCTCCTCACCTCCTTAACCCAAACCCTGCATTCGATCTCAAAAGCCCCAAATCTCCACGCCGTAACCCTAACCGGCGCAGGCCCGAAATCCTTCATAGGCGGCGCCGACCTAACCGAACTATCAACCCTCCCGAACGCAGCCGCGGCACGCAAATTCATAACATCCGTCCACGAAACATGCACCGCTATCCGCACCTGTCCTGTCCCCGTCATCGCGCGCATTAACGGATTTGCACTTGGTGCGGGGTTGGAAATTGCTGCCGCTTGTGATTTGCGTGTTGCGGGGAGAGGGGCGGTTTTTGGGATGCCGGAGGTTTGTTTTCTTTTCTCTTTTCTACTTAACATTTACATTTACGTTATTCTTCTCCTTCTACTTCTACGGTATTTCCATAGTATACGTGGATGAATACAGTTTCTCATATTCGAAAGCAAAGCATGTGGATACTAACACATACCAGGTCCGACTCGGCATCCCTTCCGTCGTCGAAGCAGCGCTTCTACCAGGCCTGATAGGCTGGGGTCGAACAAGACAGCTACTATTACTTGGTAGGACGATTTCTGCCGAAGAAGCGCTTAGTTGGGGCCTTGTTGAGCGGGTTGTTGGGGATGAGGAGCTTGACGGGGCAGTTGCGGAGTGGGGGTCGGAGATCGGGAGGAGTGGGCCGCTTGCTGTGCGTAGACAGAAAGCTTTGATTTCGAGGTGGGAGGAGCTTTCGATAGACGGTGGGATTGAAGCTGGGATCGAGGCTTTTGGAGAGTGTTTTGTGGTGGAGGATGGAGGGACGGAGCCTGGGAGGATGATGGGGGAGTTCTTTAGGGAGAAGAAGGAGGCTAAGGCGAGGATTGAGGCTCGGGGTAAGGTTCTTGGAAAAGGTAAGGGAGAGGGGGGTGAGGGGTTATGAAGGGGTAGGCAATAGAGCAGCCCAGAAAGTTGCGCAAGGGGTGTAGATAGTAGGTCTTACTATGACTATCATGAGGGGTTATCTACGTTACGGTTTTGTAAAGCGAGATCCAAAGTGAGAAGTTTCATTGTCCAAATAGGAGGTAAGTACAGCAAAAGTAGAACGTACATCGAGCGCGAGCGCGAACAAAATGTCTAAGCGTAGTGATTCTTGGATAGCATCCAGAGAGAAACGAGTGAAATGTAGACCACAGGCATAAGAAATACCAGACATAGAAACGCCGAAGTCGCGCAAGGCAGATGCAGTAGCGAGTGTAATCGGTAAAAGACGAAAGGAAAGCAGAGAGATGACGGCTCTCGCGGGATCAGGCTCATACACGGTGGTAGATGACATATGTGAACATCAAATGGCAGATGTACGTATCAACGGGGTGAACAGCTTTTTCAAAAGCAGGAATATGGAAACGTGAAAAGGGAATAAAAGTCATAGAGGAATGTGTGAGATGGTGAGATAGGAAAAATGAGAGATGCGTGAATAGCATCGGTGATTAAGTAGAGATCAGATTGCTAAAAGGAAAAAAAAGGAAAGAAATCGAGAACCGGCTCGATTTAGTGAGACCGACGACCACCCATGTAGGAGCCTGTAGCAGAGGCCAGGAAGCGAGCCACAAAGCCACCGCTGTGCGCGTGGTTGCTGGTCTTCAGCTTCTTGGATGGCTGGCGGATAGGCTCGAAAGACTTCTTAGATTCGAGCTGGGGGACGTTCACGTAACCATAGAGGGATGACGGGCTCTGGTTTGAGTCCGTGACCATGAGGTCATCTGCGCCGGATGAAACTGTGCTGATGGAGGCCGGTGTGCCTCTTGAGCTTGGGGCGAGGCTGGACGAGCGTGAGCAGAGAGAGTTGAATGTCTCGGCGTGGGAAAGCGCTGGCACGTCGCGTACGGATGGTGGGGAGACAGAGCGGTTGATTCGGCTGGGGGATGCGCGCTGGCGCTGGTAGGGGTTGTAGCGCTCGTGTTCGACATTCTGTGCGTAGTGGGTGTTGTGCATGGTTGGGCAGGAGACGTGACTAGGAAGACGGCGGAGGGAGTTGTCGTTTCGACGGGTCTCACCGCGGGCTTCGAGCTTTTGGCGGCGGAGGCGGCTGGCCAGCAGATCCGCTGATGCGTGGAGACGGCGCCTGGGGTGGGTTAGTGGTTATAATAATCCAGGTTAGAGAATGGGATGCCATACCATTCGCGGTGTTGTTGTTGTTTGTGGCGGTGTTCCTCTTCGGCTATGCGCTCTTGCTCTTGGGCAATGAGACGCTGGCGGTGGGGAACGAGGAAGGGCTCAAGATAGGTGAAGAGGTCCTGTTCGGTGATGCGCAGATCCCAATCAAGCAGGAAGAGGAGCTGGCGTTCCATGAGGTTGACCTCGGGGAGAGAGAAGCCGAATCCTTCGAATCCCTTCACTGCGGTGTAACGGGCCCAATGTTTGTTCTTGGGGCTGGAGTCATTTAGGTTCTTTGCAGCCAGGATGAGTGAGGCGAGGAAGATGCGGTGGACAGTGCAGCGCATACCCTTTGCGACTGGGGGCAGACGGGAGCGAAGACGACCGAGGTAGACGAGACAGCTCATCAGAGTGGGCACCTGCACCTGCGACCGAGCGACGAGTGACGCGATGAAGGCCTCGATTGAGGGGAGGGCAGGGAGATCTGAGTGGTCCATTGGAGGGGTGGATGGTGGTGTAGGTTGGCCGTTCTGGTTGACGGTGTTGGTCACATGCGCCTCACATCGGATGACCTGGGCTGCCTGTTGAGCCAGGTGTGCCACCATTTCCCGAGTGACTCGGGTAGTGACGAACTCATCGAGAGCTGCTCTGTTGAGTGACAATGAATCCATATTGTGATAGAGGGATATGGTAAAGGTTGGATGTCGGAGAAAAGAGGTCGAGGATGGGAATTAAATATGTCGACAGACGGGCAGCGATCAAAGAATTTCTGAAGGCACAAATGAATCGTCTCGAACAATCCAATTCAAGGACCTTTGGGCAAACGCAAGGCAAAGGTCTTTGTGTGTTTGGTAATCGGCGTCGACACAAAGTGAAGCAAAAGCGAAAATCAGATCAAAGACCTAAGACCAACACAATGTCGAACAGAGAAAGAACTCCTGACCAGCAGGATAACTTTCAGATGAAGTACTTTCTTTTTGGGAAAAAAGAATGTTGCAGCAAGGATGGGATAGTTCGGGTTGTCGTGTCAACGCCTATCGATAGCCCTAACTGAGAGCTTTTTCAACTGAGACCTGAGATAGATTCAAGACAAAATCCACAGTTAACTGCAAGTCAGCAATAGATTGGATATAATGTTTCTGGTGAATTATTATAGAGAAATGGCGAACGATTCAAAGGAAAAGAGAATTATAAAAAAGGAAATGACGTTGAGCATGTGGATGAATCTCGTGAAGAATCTGGGTGGAATACCTCTCTAGTTATAGTATCTGGTATGCGCCAGAGGGGGAGACGGGCTTTTCCCCTGCAAGGACGGGTCCAGTTAGAAGCGAGCAAAGGATAACAGGGGATAGAACATGCATAGTTGGATCTAAGATACTCCAACCTTTTTTGGCGCGCGGAGTTTGAAAGGGAAAGTGAGTTGATTTGTCGAGAGGAGACGGATGATGTACATTCGATGGACTATTATTGTATCTGTGCGTTATTATCCCTGGATTCATCCAATAGAGGGCTTTAGGCTTCATTTTCATTCTATTACTGTTGGTACTTGGCTTGTTGGTTTAACTGGCTTGATGTGATAGTATTCTACGTTCCTACATGAAAAATAAGGGGCATATTGAGACATCCCAACAACCAACATCCAATATTCGACATCACATAGCTGATGCCAATCCAGGATCGCCATTTATAGGTTCCACTAAATTATTGATGAAACTCCCGTCTCATATCGATTGGCTCATTCCATTCCTTGAACGCGTACCAGAATAGTATCTACAATCTACTACATAATGCTACTCTACTGCCTAGAACCAAGTAAAATCAACTAAAAACCAACAATCCAACAATCCAAGTCAATCATCACCAAAAACAAACTTCAGCTGAAAAAAAAAAAAAGGTGGCGATTTCATGGCGCGAACTCGCGAACTCGCGTTAGTGCCCAATCACTCGAAACCTGTCAGTTTCCGATCGAGACAATCCCTGTCCAAGTGTTCCTTTCTGCGTTACTCCGTACAGCTTCCCCTGTCACGCGAATCTAGCGTGTTCGAGGGGGATTCAACATGCCCAAGAGAAAATACAAAAGTCAAACCCTTCAGACCTTCAGACCTTCAAACCTTCAAACCTTCAAACCTTGAAATCATCCGATTCACCTCACATAAGGCAGGTCACATCATTCCCGTCCTTTTCTCCCTTCCCGTCAGATCTATCGATTTTCCAACCTCCCAACCACCCTGTTCCTTTTTTCTTTGTCATATAGTAATGTGGGATGCATGCAATGTTCCGTGCATAGCACTCTTAGCGTGTCTGTAGCGTTACTCTAAAAAAAGACAACACACTGCATATGCATCTATATAAGCGCCCGTCCTCCCCGAGCTCCATTCCCCTCCCACCCGGGCTTTCCCAGCGCTTACGACCCGACATCGTGGAAGCCCTTTCTAATTTTACGTTTCTTGTTCCATGTCCCATGTTATTCTTAGATTTCTCTACGCGCGCTACTCCTTTCTCACTACCCCAGACCCAATGCGCGGGTCGTCACCCGCCGTTCCGCCCAGCCGAATCAGTTGCGATTTGGAATGTTGGTTGTGTGAGACTGCGCCTCGTTTCAGCATGGCGTCTCGCTGTTGGTGATTTGGTTAGACGGTTGGTTGAGAGTGCTCGATATAGGTTTGAGATATTTTGTGAGATGTTTTGGTGTTCCCACAGGTGCGTCCCCACGTGTGTACCAGGCTACATCATCGTTATGGCGCCGTTGGGATTCTTAGAGCTTGTGGAGCTTGGCGCTGGGAATGGGGCGGTTTCAGGATTGTAGGGCTGTTTCAGTGTTGGCGGTTAGAGATCATGTTGGTGATGTGGTTTTGGGGTGAAACACTGAGAATGCGACCGTGTGTACGGAGGAGTTGGAGTAGCAGGATGATACTAATTTTTGCATGTGCGTGTCATCAAAGCGGTTATGACTATTATTAGCAGTGAGGATTATCGCTCCGATGATTTGCGGATTCAAGATTGATTCCATTTTCTCAATATAGTATCTCCCCATCCAAGTACCAATCACACACTTGTGCTAAAGACACTTGGGTGTCGATCTAAATAACAATGCAGAGTAAGACGACACAGTAAAATCAGCAGTACCCGACCAAGGCTCAGTGCCAGCCTGCACAGTTTTCAAGTGTTCACTGTCGTCCAGAGCCTTGCCCTTGACAAGGTTCACACACACTTCTGCTGCAAATTGAATGCCGATTTAAACAAGGGAAACAGAGTAAGAAGGCACAGTGAAGTCAGCGGTCCCAATGAAAGGCTCAGTACCAGCCTGCACAGTCTTCAAGTACTTGCTGCTGTCCAGACCCTGGTCCTTGATGAGGTACTTGAAGAAGTCCAACAGGTCACCGTTGTACTTGTTCATGGTAGACTTGGCGACGAAGCTGTAGACAGTCATCTGACCGTTGGGACCGACCCACACATCCCACTCGGAGCCACTGATATTGACGGTCGCGATGGGCTTGCCAGTGGACGAGATCGGGCCGGCACCACCCAGGGCTGCAAGCCACACCATGATCTCGTACTCCTCGCTCCCGTCAGGAGTAGAGCTGAGGAACAAGTCGTACGCGACATCGGCGACGATGTCGGAGGTGGAGTAGCTATTCCAGAGATGGTTAGCGGGAGCTGTTCAGTCTAAAGTAACTATGTGCACCAGGGTCAAAACTTACCTCCATTCCCAGGCGGACTTGATGCTGCTGACAGTACTCAGGACCTTAGGGGTGAAGTTCAGCGCGGCATTGGCGTAGCTCTTGACCTCGTTCTTAGCGGAACCGCCCCACGAATACTTGGTGTGCCAGGCGATGGTGTTGCCATTGCTCGAGTCCACGCCGGTGCACTGCTTGGCGTTGGGGTCCTTGGCGAGGTTCCAGAGGTTGTTGAAGATGGTGAAGTCGCCGGCCTTGGTTGAGCCATACTGGTCACAGATCTCGGTGGCGCGACGGACGTTGGCGGCGTCGCCCATGGTGGCCAGAGCCAGGGAGAGGAGGGACATGGGTGCGATAAAGGACTTCATTGTGGCTGTTGGAACCTGGTGTTCTGGGGAGTTTGGGGTTGTTGGTATTGGAAGTAAGACTTGTTGTGATAGAATGGAGTCGGGTTTCTGGTCTTTATACCTGCCATCTTCTCTTCCCTCGGGAATTGTCCGTTAAGTGAATAGCTTGAGCTTGGGTGCTCGCGTTTCGCATAGAGCACCAAGTACTCCTGTCTCAGGTTTCGTATTTGGGCGTGGCATCCTCTCTCCAGCGAGTTCATAACCGGGACTCCACATCCTCCGGATAATATCAAAAGCTAAAAAGCTTGCATGGGGCAGGGGTTACATACGGAGTACCGGGAACTAGATTGCCGTAGCCACACACAACGTGCGTCCTTTGAGCAATCGTAGACCCTTGTTAATCCGTGGACCCTTGTTATGCAAGATTTTATCCGTTTCAATGCAGATTGGGGAAGACAGTTGTTCTGCAGGGCTTTTTATCCGTTGATTCGGGAAGATCGGCAGCGAATGTGAGACAACGGGACCGCAGATCGGGGCGGAGGATGTGCTGCTTGTAGAATAGAACGCGGTCAAATCTGACATTGTTGCTGGAAGTATCCGCTTTGGTCGAGATTTCCCCTGAATAAACTTCACCTTAGAGTATTGGCGAGATTTCTCCGAGAGGGGGCTGACTGGGTTTTCCTAGGGCAGAGGGCATTGTATACATTTTCATATCAAAATCAGTCAAACATAGTCAAATCCAGAGTTTACTCGCACAAGGAGAATTGTGAATCAGCCACATCGTCACTTCTGCCGGTTCTTCATGCATATGCACGTGGCCGGCAAACCAGTAGTCGAAATGTAAGCCACCCCCGCAAAACCCTTGGGTGTGAACTCCGATACCTCGGCTGCATATTTTCTCCAAGTCGAAGAAATTACGGAAACCCCACCGTTTTTCAATGAGTCGTGATCGACACTTTCACCTTCAAACCTCCAAATCCATATGCCACTACAGGGGCCAAATGGTTCTTGCCATCCTTCGACAGTCGATCGATTTGACGGTGAGCAGATTGTCTTAGACATTAATACATCACAAACGTCACCATCTCCTCAGGTACTCACTTAATCGTTGTATTTAGCCTGTATTTAGCCTGCTGGCTTCAGATCCTTGCCATGGATCGACCATGGCACGTTGCCAACGGTAGAGATCAGAGCCTCAACAAGCACGAACCACACCCGATTTATCCACTAGAACAGAAAGGATCGGTTAGGGCAGGAGTCAAGGAGCTCACGTGAGCAATTGATGGCAGGAGAAGCTGTACTCGATCTTGGATACACCGGATAGGTGTCAGCGGCACCTTTGAAGTACTATTTCGTACTGACGATATATAGAATCCACGCTCTTCCTAGAATGTGATTTTTAATGGCAATCACTTACTGTTCTAATTTTAAAGTGGTTGTAGAGTACGGCACAATGTTGCACATAAGGTGGGTATGAAGTTATGGCTAGTACTCTAAAGGGTGCTCTATAGGGAGGCTAGTATGCGTCTGGTCCGCGGGAACAGAGCTCTACTTTTAGGCAGCATTAGCTATCTGAAATAGAGTGGCACCCATATGTTAGACGATTACTACACCCCAATAAACCGTCATATATAGAGTGCCCGACGACTGGTCTTTGAGAAACTGGAGATAAGCATGACGCAAAAACAAGGGACGATGGCGAAGCAAAAGAGAGAATTAATTATGAAATTTAACTAGCTAGGAATAACAAACGAAGCAATGGGAACAAGATTCATGACTAACAGACAACGTGTATGGATGGAAGAGAGAAGAATCAACAAAGCAAGTCCCGGAGTGAACAAACAGACAGCAAGGCAAGAGGGAAAAACATTCATGACCGACAGACAACTTGTACGAAAGAGGCAAGAATCAATCAAGTAGGCCCTGGAGTAAACAAGGCCTTAGGCGACCATGTTGTCAAGGAACAACAATATGGAAGAAAAGAACCGTCCTCGGAAATCCGTGAACAACAGAGAGCTATCTCTGTGGAAAAGGGCTAAAAATTATGCCCAGCTCCTCATAGATCAATGGAGGCTCCAGGAAAGTACAGCATGTTTCCACAGAGGCCGCAGGGAGGAATGTGGTCCTGGGTCGCGACATGCTTCGTGCCATTAGGCTCGGACCGAGGCCCTAATCTAGTTTCATACTAGCCTGGACCGCAGCAAAGATCCAATGTCCAGAGGACGGGTGGCTGAACTCGGGAACCACGGAGTGCAATGTGGACCCGGAGAGTTGAAGGGGGAAGAAAGACAGAAGGAGGAAAGTGGGAGGGGTGCTGGTATTTATACCTTCCTAGTGGCTGAAGGCGAGGAAGGAACTGGGGTTGGTGACGAGTCTTGACTAAAAGGGAAGGCACCCAAAAAGGAAGGCACCATGGGCACATGGGCTGGAAGGCACTAGGTAGCTTCTCTGATATTATGAAAACGATGTAAACTTCTAGCCCGGCAGCTTGATCCTCGATACATCCATGGGTACACTCGTGGACTGCACTAGAGACTGGGTATACTTCTATCCAAGACGTATACCATCCATGCCCTGGTCAGATATCTCCAGGGCTCTCATGTCATGCTCCTTGACTAAAATATACCGGTCAAGACAGTCAAACTATCATGCGTCCCAGCACCGACAGCCCAGTCTGTCAGAACATCACGCTAGGTAAACATCGATATGCTCGATGGGTAGCTGTCGTCGACTCGACAGTCATAGATATATATCCATGTACCTTGGCCGTCTACGGAGACACGGTCGTCATCGGGACATTTTGGTCTGCCCTTCGTCACCAGTTTACGCGGGGTGCAACATCTTGTTCGGTACGTACCGAAGAACCACATCGGCGTGACTACGACTTCGTCACCTGGAATATCATAGAAAAGTTTGATATTTCTTGGCACGGTTCCGCGGACTGCGGTAGCTTCCGCATATCGGCACCAGATCACCGCGATCTGACGTGAGCCATCATTGGACTCGAACATTAGATAGTGCACGGAATACGGAGTACCCAAGTAGCCGAGTAGATAACATTCTTGATGAAAGGAGATACCGACAGTTGGCCAATAGAAGAGACGACAATTCGGATTGCCAGCATCCGGCATGGCCTGTTGATGAGTCAGCCAAAGTAGATAGGTAGTGTAAACCCATGCAAACACATGTACAAACACAGTGCAAACCGTTCAATTGCACCAGATATCACCAGTATATGGGAAGTGCATGTATTGAATGAAGAACTGAAACATATTCCAGCAAGGAATTGAATTATATCCTATACTTTCATAATGAATTGAATAAAAGCGAGGGTGTTTTGACTATCATTCAATTGTTTTGCTTTGATGCCCCACCAGGTGGAGCTCCGGGGTTTTCGCCAGGGGCTGAAATTAAATTTAAAGCTCGATTGCCTCTTTTTCCTACAGGACCCCTTCTCCAATTCCCAAGATGCCTTCCAAATCCTCCAAGTCCTCCAGCTCCGGCTGCGGCTGTCGCTGCTTCTCCCTGAAGACCCTCAGCTACCTCGCTATTTTCCTGGCCCTGTTCTCTGCGGTTTACCGATTCCTCGATGCGCGCCTGGAACAATTCTATATCTTCGACCCAGAGCACCTGCACGATGTGTCTCAGCGCGCCATCAGCGCCCATGGCGAGGACACCCGCTCCATCGTCAACTTCATCGTTGCCGAGCTGGAGCAGAAAGTTGGCCCCAACTACCTGAGCACCCAGGAGGAGTGGGTATTCAACAACGCGGGCGGCGCCATGGGCGCCATGTACGTGATCCACGCCAGTATCACTGAGTACCTGATCATCTTCGGTGAGTTTTCCCCGCGACCAAATCTACCACCTCCTTTCCCCCTTCTAACCACGTTTAATCTCCAGGCACCGCCATCGGAACTGAAGGCCACACTGGCCGCCACACCGCCGACGACTACTTCAACATCCTCCAGGGCACCCAGCTCGCCTACGTCCCCGGCGAGTTCAAGCCGGAGGTCTACCCGGCCGGAAGCGTGCACCATCTCGTCCGTGGCGAGGTCAAGCAGTACAAGATGGATGAGTCCTGCTTTGCGCTTGAGTACGCCCGTGGCTGGATCCCTCCCATGCTCTTCTTCGGTTACGCCGATACCTTCACCAGCACCTTGGACTTCCCGACGTTGTGGGCTACCACGCGCATCACTGCCCGTGAGATGGTTGGCAACTTGTTGCAGTTCAAGCTGTAATTTAGCATACCATTTTGCCTCTTGTTGATATGCAGGCTTCGGTTGTATTGATGAGGTCTACGTGGGATGATATGGGCATTGGGATTCGATTCTGTGTTGGGCACCTCGGGAGGTGCTGTTTTGGTTGTAAAAGTTACTGAACATGGTGGATACTTAATTGGTAATACCGAACACATTTTTTCATAAGCCAAGGTTGTCGAGCTGCTCTTGTAGCACTGGAGTAACCTAGCCCCATCTGCTGCTTTTGTCGTCAATTACCAACCTGTAAGAAGAGACATGAGGCCTTGGAAGTATGGATATCAATACTCCAACTTTGTACTACCAACGGTTAATAGTAGACTGTGAGAGAACACTTGGGCTGGAAGCTACCTGGACGATTTGTAAATCCACTACCAACCTTGGAATAACTCGCACCCACGTAAAATGCCCAGGGCAGAATTTGTAGTCAAGACCCAGGATCTAAAGTCAAACAGGTGGTCAAAGTGTAATTCAGTCATCATATCCAGTCAGTGAACCAAGATCATCTATGGATATCCAAAGTCTATTGTTTGTCAAAATAAGCATCTGTTGAACCGTAGGTAGCAAAGGGTTTGGTATCTGAATGGCTGTACACTGTGCAAATGTACAAATGAACAGCTCTATATAAACTTGCAATTTGCTTGCACATATCCTCCTCCTCTTCTTCCTCATCTTTCATCTATCTACCAAAATTACTATTTAGCACATCATCACTGTTCCTTTCTAGCTTTTGGTTCATTTGGAACGTGATAGCCCACCATGGCTGGCTATTGCGGATGCAGTTGGAAAGAGCCTGGTAACTGGCAGACTCAGTATCTCCCACAGGTCTCACTCAAAGCCCATGCGACCATCTTGTCCTCTGCAGCCCGTACAACTTTGACACAGACATTTGTCAACCCGTCTAGTAGGGTCATCAAAGAGATATCCTACAACTTCCCTCTTTACGATGGTGTCAGTGTTGTCGGATTTGAATGCAAAGTTGGCTCTCGTCTCCTACACAGCGAGGTGAAGACCAAGTCACAAGCCAATGCGGACTACCAAAATGCAGTGGCTCAACATCAGACTGCTGCTGTCATGGACCACACCTCCATGAATGATGTTTTTGTCATTCGACTCGGGAACGTCCCTGCTCACGGGAAGATCAATATGGACATAACTTTCGTGGGAGAGTTGAAACAAGACTCTCAGACGGATGGTATTCGCTACACATTACCAAGCAAGATCGCTCCTCGCTATGGAACTACAATGTCTTACAGTCAACCCCAATTATCTTCACTTGGCGTGCCAGCCAACCTCCAAGGAATGTCTATTACCGTTGATGTTCAGATGAAGAAGGGTTTGGTCATCCGAGAGCTGGAATCCCCAAGCCACCGGGTCAAGGTCTCTCTCGGACGTGTGTCTTCTACACCAGAAACCTCTACCTTTGAACCGTCACAAGCATCTGCCTCCGTGATTCCCCAGCAGAATAATGCAGTGTTGCTGGAACAAGACTTTGTCGTTCTCATCAAAGCGGATGGGGTTGACACACCCTGCGCATTGCTTGAAAGACACCCAACTATTCCTAACCAACGAGCCCTGATGGCAACTCTCGTGCCAAAATTCAACCTCCGACCCGCCAGTCCTGAGCTGGTCTTTGTCATTGACAGAAGTGGGAGTATGCAGCCCAAAATTCCAACCTTGAAATCTGCACTCCAAGTTTTCCTGAAGTCTTTGCCTGTCGGTATCTGCTTCAATATCTGCTCTTTTGGGAGCTACTATTCATTCATGTGGCCAACCAGCCAGGTGTACGATGCATCTAGCTTAAAGCAGTCTTTGGCATTTGTTGATACCATCGGCGCGAATATGGGTGGCACTGAGATGAAACAAGCAGTCGTCGCCACTGTGGAAAATCGACTAAATTTCAAAGATCTGGATATTTTGATTCTCACTGACGGAGAGATCTTTGACCAGGACCTTTTGTTCAACTTCATCCGCGAAAAGGCTGCTGACAATACTGCTCGGTTCTTCTCCCTTGGCATTGGCGAAGCAGCATCTCACTCTCTCATTGAGGGAATTGCAAGAGCTGGAAATGGGTTCTGCCAATCAGTTACGGAGTACGAAGAGCTCGATCGCAAGATCGTCCGCATGCTCAAGGGTGCCCTGACTCCTCATGTCTCCGACTACAAACTCGAAGTCGAATACGAAACCGAGATAGAGCCTGAGTTCGAGTTTGTGAGCGATACCGAGAATTTCACCGACTCCGAGGCTGAAGTCGAAGCGAAGGGTGCAGATGGAGACCCCATGGAAGAAGCAACCCGCAACTCATCGCAGCTGATCTCATTGTACGACGAGAACTTCCAGGATGTCGACATGAATGTTGAAGTCGATGGGAAAGCAGCTGGAAAACTTCCCACTGTCACACCTCCGCGAGCAATCCAAGCTCCCTACAATATCCCACCTCTGTACCCGTTCATTAGGACAAATGTCTTCCTTCTTATGGACCCGCACTCCGAAAGAGTCCCCAAGTCCCTGAAGTTCACTTCTACTTCCAACGACGGTCCACTACAGCTGCGAATCCCGATCTGCGACATCGGAACCGGTGAGACACTGCATCAACTCGCTTCGCGGAAGGCCATGATCGAGCTCGAAGAGGGACATGGCTGGCTCTCCCATGCCAAGGATGAGAATGGAAACAAATTCAAACGGTTCCACAATGAGACAAAGCAGCGAATTGCAGAGCGTGAATGCCAGGACCTAGGAATCAAGTTCCAGGTCACTGGGAAATACTGTTCGTTTGTGGCATTGGAAGAGTGCAGCTTGCCGTCCTCGGAACAACAGGCTGAACAGCTTAACGTCAAGGAGCATGCTGTAGAGCAGATTTCTCCATTGAAACGGCCTATTAGGTCCTCCTTGAGGGCTCCAATAGCTATGATGGCTATGAGGGCCACAAATGCTCCAACCGCACGCACTGGCGGTGTACGTGGTGGTGGTCGGGACGGAGGTCGCGGCGGCTTCCAGCAAGTACATCCCATGGGTACGTCAGTTTATGTTCCAGGTGGACCGCCAATACGTATGTCGCAGTATGGCCCGACCCCGGCGTCCTCTGCAATTGCTGGCCAGTTTCTCAGCTATGAAGCACCGCCTTTTACACCCGTGGGATCTGCAGTCTCGCATCCTGTCCATGGCTCAAGATCATCACCTACATCTCCAATGCTTCGTGACATGATACACGCCAAAAGGTCTCTATTGGAGCAGACCCCTTCCCTCCCCAAGACTCCGGAGATGAGAATGCACGAGCTTATTCAGCTGCAAACCTTTGAGGGCAGCTGGATGTGGGACCAGGCACTCTTCGAGCTTTTGGGGCATGACTCGAGCGCAATAAAGAACAAATTGGTTTCGCTGTACTCGAGGGCCAATCGAACGACTGAATACGGTTTCTCGCGTGACGAGCAGAGGGTTCAGGCAACCTTGCTTGCACTCGCATGGCTAGTGAAGAAGCAGTCAAGATCGAGGGGTGTTTGGGAACTTGTGCACGCCAAAGGTTCTGAGTGGGTTAGGCTCGAATTGAGGAGGATGCAGAATCATGGTTCGCCTGGGGCTTTTATTGCATCAATCCAGAATGAGATTTTTGATATGATCTAAGACGTGAGCTCGGTGGAGAAGGTGGATTTTTGATTTTGGTTCTTAGTTCTTACGCATTTGCTTACAAGATTGCTTATGGGATGATTATTTGCTGGGAATTCAGAAAAGGAAACAAAAAGACAAAAAAATTGGATAGCTTTGTAATAGAAGAAAAGCTCTCACCTCGTTGTTCTTGAAATAGGGTAACATCGTTGTTCAATATTGACCGTCTCTCGAATGGTGGCAATATCTCTCAACGAAAGACGCGGAACACATCGCGTTAAGTGCCTGACCTAGTCAGCTGAACATAATCTCAGCGATTCGTATCCTAGGGGACGCTACATATCAACATCCTCCCGCAGCCCTGGAGCCCTCGTCCTTAAGATTTCGATAGTACCAGAGAGATTTGTGGATCCATTCCATATGGGAAGATCAATCTGTCATGACCAGTATTGTCGAATATCTATCTCATTTTCTACCTGCAGCCATACTGGAATAGTGGTTTAATCTCCAAATAACTTTGGCCGTCCATCATCCTCCAGACCATCCACGCATCTTCACCAAGCCAGGCCAGCCGAGGCCGAGGCCGCGGCTTAGAAGGCTGTCGATGATTACTGAACTGTTGAAGGATATAACCGAGAGCTGGTATATAGGAGTGTGCAGTTAAACATGTATCTACTTGAATCAAAACAAGCTACTTCCCTACATCCATCATGATCTTCGATCCTACCCCGATTGAGCTTCCATCTTCTTATGAAAAGGTCGAAAGAACCGGCCATGTCCTCGTCCAGCTCGCTTATTCAATGGACCTTCTTCAGCGCCCGCTGGACAGCCATCCCATACAAAACATCCACTTGCTCCCTGTGCAACGACCAAAGTTGATCCGCTCATGCGAGTAGTTAAAGACATGCTGAAAGCGCGGAATGCTCAGCCTGTCGTAGGAGGCTGCCGCCGCATCCAGGGAAATGTTGCGACAGATCTGTTCCGCGAGGTCCCAACCATCCTTGAGTGCCAAGTTCGCGCCAACAAATTCAAAAGGGCTGAGAATATGGTTGGCGTCGCCGATCAAGATCACCCCATGCAGACGAGCGTCGTGCTGGAATGCGGGTTTCTCCTTCGCAGGCCGGGATGAAAGCGGTGCTGGGGATAGTTGCCTCAACGGCCGTTTTGAAGGGTTCCTGGGACATCGAGGCAGTCTGCAGGGCTTCCCACTTCAATGCGTTGAATCCCTCAATACTAAGGCTGGTTTTCGCTTCGCGTTCAGGTCCCATCGTGCTCAGTGCCCAGGCGAGTGTCTTGCTGTCGAACGGGTGGTAGATACAGCAGACCCCCTCACGGGACGACACCTGGAGGCTGAAGTCCTGATCGATGGGCTTGGGGAGTCCCTCCGGAAGATATGGGATGCCACCAATTTGAGTCGCGCCAGCGTATTCAGTTGTCATGTCGTTGGGTTGAAAGCACGCCCGGATGCGACTGTTCGCGCCATCGGCCGCCACGAGAAGATCACAATCCGGCGTGGAACCGGAACTGTTTGTGCTTCCGCTTCCACCTTCAGAGACGGAGACGCGAATCTTGCTATTCGACAGGCGCTCGGCCGATGTACAGGTGAGCGGCGAATCCCAGCGGACGGTTACCGAACCTTGAGGGCAAGTACGAGTTGGCTAATTCCCTGTCCTCATCGACTTAAAAGATTTGCACTCGACTTCCAGCTCCAGACGCCGAGTTTCAAAGCGGGAGCCACGAAGTGGGACCGTTCTCGTCAGAAGCCATGACAGAGCCCACCCTCAAAGTCCGGTCCTCGTTCAACGAGTGTCTCATCCCGGCCACCATCAACGAGAGTCGCGAAGCCGCACAGCTCCTCGGCGTGGACAAGGACTACATCATTCTGTCGGGCTGGACCAACCTCCTGTGGATCATTTACCCCATCGCCTGGGGGTTGACGACAGCGGCAACAAGATAGGTGTGACCGGAACCTCCATCTTCTTCAGGGTGCTGGACGTCCTCATGGTTCCGGTACTCAGTTTGCCGTGTTGCTCTTGGCCCGCAAGTGGGATTACCGCAAGTTAAGCATTGCGTTCAGCGATAGTCGTCCGAGCCGAGAGCCCGAGGCTGCCTCTGCGCTCAAGGCGGACTGTTCTTCTCGGGCGGTGGAATAGACGGTTGCTCGTGTCAGCGTGCGGGTTGACGTTCGGTTTCTATATGTGAAGGGCAGTTGGTTCGAAGAAGTTTATGTGCTTGTTTACGAAAGACTTAGCGTGTTCAAAATGTTCGCGAATTCTTAGCGCTAAACAACGCGTCGCGCCTGACTCCTCCAACATCTAACCCCCGATTTTGCTCCTATAGACTTTTCGTAACCTAACCCATACTCTTGACTAACGTATCTAGGCATGGTAATACCCCTAGCCTAGAAGAAACTAATACCTACTCTAACTATAGCACTAATATAAGAGCGAGCCTAAATAACTACCCTTACCGGAGCTAGTAGATACCGATAAATAGGAAGTCGAAGAGAGTAAAGATAACTAAATAGTTCGAAAATGAGCTCTACTACTTAGCAAAATAGTACAGCTAACCCTCGGAACATAACTAATAGGTTCCGGATTTTCAACGCCTCTTTATTTCCCCATTGTACATGCGAATGAAGCGTATCGATGGCATGGTGCAATGCCGTGACTCGCTAGGGATCAATGGATAGTTGTAGGCCATGAGTACCTCCGTAACAGGTAGGGTCAACAAAGGGTTGTATGGTGAAGACTTGCCACACAACCAAGCATCAATCAGTGTATCGATTAAGGTGTCAGTTTCTTCGGCGCTCGTGCGCTCGTGGGGGAGATCGAGAATGCGCTGCACAAAGGTCGACCACGCACATGGGCTGCGAGAGTGGATTCGAATCTTCTGGTAGAGATAGAGGCGCTTCAAGCGAACGGGAAAGCTATGCCACATGCGAGGTTCCTGTGCCCCGCGAAACCCAGGTTCGAAGCACAAACCCTCCACTTCAAGCCGGGGGCTTTTGATCATGAGTGTTGTGATCTGATGGTTGAAGGAGGCTAGAAGGGTTAAAATTCTGTATCTCCATATTGAAGCAATCGACGTACTGCTCACAAGCCTTGCTCTCCATACGTCTTCCCAAGGCAGAGTGTCCACCACCAGTTGAAATATGTGGAGCTGGATCTCCGCGGGAAGCGACATTTGACCAACTGTAATCAGGGTCCTCAAGTTGTGCAGTGATTTTGTCAAGGCGGGGTTCGCATGAGATGTAAGTGTGATAATATGAGATGCAGGAAGATACCAGTTTAGGAGTTAGAGATGGCTAGTCAGGAAGCCTGCAAATGTCCCAATGGAAAGAAGGTACGGTGGTTTTGTGCTGTTCAAAGGTACGTGAAGTAAGGCTGAACGGAAGATTAAAACAAGAGTGAAAGAAGACTGAGAATAAGTGACAAGAGAGAAGAAGAGAAGAAGAAGGAATTGTGTTGCCTTTTATACTTTGTTTGTCTTCCATACGCTAGATCTTTGTTGTCAGCAGATCCCTTCCTCTCTCTCCTCCCTCCTTCTCCTCTCTCTTCTTCTTCTCTCTCAGCTCCTGTTAAATTTTTATTGTCGGCTTCAGATCCGTGAGTCCCTTCTTCTACTCGTCAACAGATTCCACGCAACATCCAGTGCCCCCAAAGGCCTTATACATCGGGGAGATTTTATATATACATATATAGATTGGCTACCACAATCTATGCAGCCGCGATTTCACACTGGAGGTTGTTTATGTGGCTGACGAGACCGGCGTTCAAGGAAGGTTCCAAGAAGCAGTTGGCCGAATTCTTGGGGCAGCATTCTATACACAGACTAAGACCAACACCAAGTACCTTCGCTTTGCTAATTTTAAGTCGGCGGGCAAAGTGTACGGCAAGGTCTCCGGTGGGGCAATCTCCTCGCAGCAAGTTTCCTTGAAAGCCGGGGGAGAGTTGAAAGTCCCATGGGTAGATGCACACATCCTCGAGGACGCAATTGGGAAAAAGGCACCGCTCCGTCACTTACTTGGTCAAGAACATCTACAACATCTACAACATGACCGACCGGCAGAACAAGTCCGCAACTCTGGTCCTGAACGACGAGGATGAGAGGCGCGAGAACCTGATGTCGAACCTGAGCACCCTCACGGTGAGCCCCAAAGCCGGCGAGACGACCCCGAGCAAGAAGAAGAAGAACAAGTTCTCGTAGATGCTGAAGGAGCAGAAGGCGCACGAGGAGGTGGAGAAGCCCCTTGGCAGCGCCCCTTCCAGCTTCAATGGCCAGGACCAGCCCCGAAGCCAGGTGACCCTGAAGACCGGCAACCCGGGGCAAGGCAAGCAGACGGTCCCAATGAGCAGCAAGATCGTGGGGGCCAACGCCAACGAGCCCAACTGGGACACCAAGGACAAGCACCTGTTCCACTAGCTGTGCAGCACCCACATCCAGAGCCTGGCCATTACCGAGAGCAGGAAGACGAAGGAGAACAAGAACGGATACTACGTCCTCAAGAGACCGGATGGATCTACATCCGCTACGGCCAACCCCATGCTCCCGAACTTGCCCCGGACGGGTTCATGCTGGGCATCGGAACCGCGAAGCCGGACGAGAACCTACCGAAGAAGAGGATTTACTCCGACGTCGTGATCGTGGACATCAACCGGGACTGGGTTTTGACCGAGTGGATCTCCGAGGACGCCATCATGGAGCCAGTCCCGAGCAACATCCGACACAAGCAGCACCAGCCGAAGAACCGCCAGGCAGACCGCACGATCGGCGTCAACTTCGCGAGGTTCGGGTTGCCCGTCAGGTCGTTCAGAGCCGTGTTCACAAGCTTGAACGCGAGCATGCCCGGGCTCATGGACTCGCTGGTCATCACGGAGGGGTACTACTGGGTCAACGCGCCCTGGGGTGTGTTGACCACGCCGAAAAAGTGACTATATGATCGGCCAGCAGGTCCCTTACGGGTTCCACTCTACATCAATTTCCGTCTGGACATGAGGGACGCAACCGACAACCAG